AGTACAAGTTGACCCGCATGAGATTTCTTGGGGTGAAGCAGACTAAGAATGTTCTTAGTCTATTGTCTATTGTCATGAGTGGGCATACCCTGAATGTACCAGCAGAACAAAACACAAACAGTTCAGGAGAACACAGCCTCCTGCCCAAAAAAGAACAGAGTGGAGAATCAAAATGAATATCAAAATATTTATTAAAAATAACTAAAACATGAACATGAAATATTAATAAAATACAAAATATTTGTACTTGTTGAAAATAAATTAAATCAGTTCAAATTAGAGTCCTAAATCTAAATTAAGATTGAATGCAAAATCAGAATATCAAATTAGGTTTTATCATTGTTTCAAAAAGCGTGTGTGCAGCAACACCTAACTATTCATTTCATACATTAGCAGCCATTTCCTTTTCATCATCTGAACGTTTTCAGTTTTTGTCTCTGAGATTACCTTTTCTGTTGTAATATCGAAAACAATTAGCCTCCATCGCAATATTCGCTTCTAAAGACAATTACTAAAATTCGGTCGTCCTGCTTTCATGTCATCTACTTAAAATGTGTATTGTGTAACCTTTTCACAAAGATGCATTATAATGTTAAACCTTCTGGAGCACAATGATTCTGTGAATTACATGTATTCGCAAAAAGTACCCTTTCTCAGGCTTTTTACATTGCTCCTCCCTAATATCTTGTAAAACGTTACCATTGTAACTAGTGTGACGTTGGGCATGCAAAGCAGTCCAGGTCGGAAGGCGGCAGTAGTTGTACTAATGAAAATTTGTTTATAGCAACAGAAACTATGAATGGATTTTCCTTATTTTATGTCTTTCTTAATCTATTTTTTCAAGCGAGCTATTTATGTGAATCATGAGAGTTGGGTTTAACTGCTAATCGTAATTTATTTAGGAATAAATTTGAAAAAAAAAGATAACGCACAGCACTTTGCTTAAAATGAATAGCGGCATATTACTTCGTTTGGTGTGTTTTGATGACGTGAGAAGTAAGCGCCCAGTGAGAGCGGTCAATTTAAGCTGACAGCGGTAAAAACGAGTAAACAAAAAAACAGCACAACTGAATTTGGGTTGGGTTAAGCCTTGTGTTTTTTTTATTTTCAGGTTTCATCTTACTGTAGTAGTTATAATATACCAACGCGAAAATTATAATAGGCTGAGAATTTACTTGTTCATTTATAGGCAAAATTACTAAACTTGATAAACCCACTATTTTGTAGGAAACACTTTTGAGATATGAAGTTTTGCTCTGCATTTTCATTACCTCACGAGGTAAGTGAAATAATTGTTTTCCTTTTTAATGAAAGTGGGTACGTCTCTTAATGAAATGCTATTAAAGGAAGCATTTGCAAAAATAATAAAGAAAAATCAGGTTCCAGCAGCAAATGTAATTTCATCAGCAGTTCAAACCGATTGGAATGTACAAGAGGCCGAGTTCCAGTTTAAACTGTATCAAAAGTAAGGGGATGTAAAAGAAACCCTTTTAAAAGCATTTGTTTTGAGTTGCTTTGTATTTGATGTACGTTAAGATTGTGCTGTAGGAAGTATGACATACAGTATAAGTTTCATACAACTGATTTTAATTTTCTTGGTTCGTTTTCATTTTTTGTCTTTTTAAACCTTTTATGATTCCTGTATCAACACTGATTCATAAATAAATTAAACTTGGTACTTTAATCTTCGCGATGACTTCAAACGCTTATCAAACGTTTCCCTCAGAAATTCGGACAATGGCAGGAAATCAGCATTTATACGGAGAGCTTTGCCTCATTGACAAAAACATAACAAGGTAAGAACTTAGTCATACTGTGTGTTTCTTGTATATAATTAACAAAACTTCCCTTACCTTATTTAAAGCCTTACTTATTCCTTTGTGCTTATACTGTATAACATTCGAGTTTGTTTTTATTTTTTGTGTTAAACTTACCACAGACAGAGAGTCGTATACATAAGTTGCATGTCTCAGATTAATCCAACTAGAAAATTTTACAAAATTGTATTGTTAAATAAATGGGGACTACGGCATTACTTATTACGCTTAAAAATTATTGAATAACATTAATGGAGATGGATGAAGGCACTACCACCACATCTTCAATTTTCGCTGTGTATATAATCTGTCTTTGTTGTTGATTTTCTTACATACAGGGTGCTTCGTCTAATGAAGCTTCTGACAAGAAATCTGAAGTGTTAAAAGACATTTTATGAAGCTCAAAGACTTTTCCCAGAACAGTACGCTTTAATGGTGTTGTATTATTCTTTCTGACAAGTGGAACGCTGGTTGAATTCTCCTATTTGTAATATTTTTGTGACGCATGTAAAATATGAAGTGATGCTCTCATACAGTGGTTGTATTTCACTGGTTCTTCCAACTACAATCAGTGGGTTGGACTGCTGGATGAGAAGCAGGGATTTCTTTATAAGATTTCTCCAAGGCTTTTAGTAGATATTACTCTTTATTCGGGAATTATTTTAATTAATATTTAGCAGAAGTCATTTGAACTGAAACAAGGAAATAGTGGGCAGAGCAGAGAAAGGTAATCCGCAGTAAGCAGGAAACTACAGATAATTAAAAAGGTTTTGGTGTCTGGTATTACATCAGAATAACCTTTTAGGTGCTTTCTGCAATACATGTTGTCTACCTTTATTTAAGCTTCTAGAATGAAGAAATTCCACTGAGCGGGTCCTGTGTCTTGAATGAAGATTTTCTCTGAAGTGTCTCTGCTGCCACCCATGTTTTTTTCTAAATAAAAATGCTGCATATATGTAGTATAGTTTTTAGGCATTTTGTTTAATTGTAAGCAAGCTAGCATTGTGCTTCTCTCCCTCTGCAGCTTGTTAGAAATTCCTGTTAGTGAAAAGCTGAGGTCACTGAGTCTTCACTGTAACCGAATAGTCAAGATAGAGGGCCTGGCTTTGGCATGGCAGCTGCGGCACCTGGACCTTTCGTCCAATCGGATAACTCGAATTGAGGGCCTGGATTCGCTCACATCCCTGCACACTCTCAACTTATCATGTAACTTAATAACTAAAGTTGAAGGTAAGTATTCAGTGGCCGCCTTTAGCTAACTTAATGAAATGGTGCCCCTTTTACCATAATATGAAAAACACCTTCTTGAAAATTCTGACATCATCTTTTATGTACAGAATCAACGCACTACTACGTAAATCTAATCGCACTGACAATATACTGCTAGATTGTTCTTTAATAACATTTTGTTCTTTTTTAGGGTTAAATTGTTTAGTGAACTTGATCAGATTGAACTTGTCTTACAATCAGATAAGTGACTTGACTGGTGAGTGTATTTACAAATATAATGTCTTGAAAATAGCCCTCTAATTTTCAAGTAGAAAACCATCATAAAATAATATGCTTAATGATTAATTGCAATTGTATGTTATTTCTTAGCTTATGCCCATAATTGAATAAATAATCCTTAAAATAATCAAATGGAGTTAATAGCAAGATCAGAGTAAACTTGGTTTGGTTTGCATCTGCAGGATTGCTGTACCTTCATGGGACTGGCCACAAACTGAGACATCTGAATCTGCACAGTAACCAAGTGTGCAGCATAAATCAAGTGCTGCAGTGCATGGTGGGATTACAGAATTTGACTGAACTTACTTTTAGCATGGATGGAAAAGACAACCCAGTCTGCCTTGTTCCAGGTAGGTGGACCTATATGACATTTAAAAATGTATTTAAAAAAGAGTCAAAATGACATGTTTGGTTCTATTTCATAACTTCATATTACAATATTTATTATTATTTGCCCTGCAATTGCAGGGACCCATTTTGAAAACATCTGCTGATATTCAGCAAATCTGCAGTCAGCTTCTTACCTGCCCCTGGGGAAACAAACTTGTCAGAACTGCAGCTGGCGTCTGAGGCTTGTGGTTGTCAGGCAGATGACCTTTGTGCGCACTGGAACTCAGAATGGAAGCTAAAACGTTATAGCCAGCTAAAGTGTAGACATGCATTTCAATAAATACCACAGTGCTATTCAGCAACTGAAATGCTGACACTAAGTGTAATGTAGCTGCCCTAATCCCTATAGTGACTGGCCAGAGCTTCCACAGTAAACGAGTGCTGGATTTGAACCAGGGGTTTGAAATTAGGCTACTTTTTGAGGAGTTTCTTAAAGTGGGTTTAAAACCAAGCCTGCTTTAACTGTGTTTTAGGGTCTGGAAGTGCTGGAGTTAGAGGTTATTTTGGAATCTCTAAAACTATTTCTGCTAGGTTCTATTGCATATTAGATACAGATAAGAACAGAATACAAATACGTTTGATATAGTCCTTATGTGTTAAATTATTCCTATAAAAGAAAAAACAAATGCAATAGAGATGGTTTTGCACATTCCTATTTAATAAAAAGAAACAACTGTTCAGTTGTTTTAATATTGTTTTTTTTTTTTGCTTTTCCATAGCCCTAGTGATTAATTAATATTGATGTTAGCAATCTGGAAAGAATGTAAAGACAGTTCCAAGTAAGAGGAATCTTAAGCATGTGAAAATTTTACATTTTTAAAATGTTACATTGTTTAATTTTTTATTAGACAGTGGAATGTATGAATTTGTTGTACAGCCAGCAACATTTTTCCTAAAAATATTCCTTGTGTTTTAAAGGTTACAGAGAGATTATTCTACAGTCTTTGCCTCAGATGGTTGCTCTTGATGGTGTTAATCGAAAGGGTGAGCCCATGTTGGCTGATTGCACTTCAATTAATGTACCTGGACTAGAAGATTTTGTAGATTTCTTGGTATCCTCTGACACTAGTGGGAATGCAGAAAAAGTAAGTCTTTTTTAAGTTTTGTACATGTAATAATTGAAATACAGTGTGCAGTGACACGTACGTTTTAGTCTTTAGCCCAGAACATGAAAAGAAATGTCTTTTCTTGTTTTATAAGATAAGGCAACTTATTCAATCAAACGTTTCTCAGATTCTGTTCAGAAAATATTTAAATGGCTATACTGAATAATACATAGCGTTTTATCATTCCATGTTTCTTCATCATACATTATACATTAGTATACAGTATATCAACAGTATATATTTCAGGTAACATTAAACCTTTCATTATTAATTTATTTTTCCATGAAAGTCACACAATTTCAGTCTTAAAGGGTATGAAAATGGTCATATGAAGCTCTACATTCCTATGCAATACATTGTATAAGTGTTCTGTACGTGTTCTATAATTACTTCTGATATGGATAACGTGTCAAAACTTAAATTCATGCATATGTGCTTTAGTATAAAGCTGCTTTATTTTTAGTCAAGGAGTTTTACATTTATTAAAATAAGTTGATCTTAGATATAGTTTGTTTAAGCACTGTTGTGCTGCTTATGGAGTAATAAAATCAATTCTCATTTACTTTCCAGCCTAATTCTAATGTACCAATTGCCACCCCTTCCATTGATAAAGTGCTGACCCAGTTTCACCAGCGAAATAGTACAGGGGTTGACAGAAGACCAAAAGTGCATACAGGAGAAAATTCACTTTCTGAAGAGGAGAAAACAAAACCAAACTCTTGCAATCTGTATAATGAACTGCGAATTAAAAAATTGGAGCATCAGGTTTCTCAACTATTTCATCAGGTGGGTTGTTATAACAATGTGTGATATGGCTCATTAATTTACTAGATATAGTTAAGGCCTCTTTACATTAAAACACCTCATTGTTGAGTGTTGGGTTCAAATACAGCTTAAGGCCTAATTCTTACTTCTAGGCATTGACTGTTTCACAGTGGAAGGATTAGAACACATTTTGTTATGAATTCAGTGCATCTCTAAAAACTAAAGTAAACAGTGCACACACACTGTGTGCTAGAAATAAATACATTGCTGAATGTGTTTAAAACAATGAATATAAACATTAAAGAAGTGACTACTTAAGCAGGAAATCACAAGCATTCATACACGGACACCAATAAACAAAGGAAGATCATTTTGTCACAGTATTTAGGTATAAGATATTTTTTTTCTGTATTAATAAACTGCATAAAATTAAAACCAAACTTGCAGGTCCCCAGTAGTTCAAGCTCAACTCCCTCTGTTGTACGGAAGGCGAAGAGAGACATTGATTACACATCAGAAAGTGAATGTGACAGTGCCAAAGAGAACAATAAGAAAGGTTCTAGGAGATCCAGAATTCCCAAATATAGAAGTGCCAATAAAACAACTGGAAAGCGATTGACTAAAGACACACCAGGCAAGAGATCAGACAGGTATGATCCTCTAACAAATTACTTCTTATTATTATATAGCTATGAGCTTAATGTTTTGTACTTTCCAAAAAGCCACGGCAAACGTGACCATATACTGTAGGCATTTGTTCCAATTAATTTTAGCACAACAGATGTGAAATCAGTGTTCCATATTATAATTACTTTACATACAGTATACATTAAGCATTCGATTTTGTTTAATGTTCTTCTGTAGTCTATACCACTTTTTAAATTACTTTTTTTTCTTTATTTTAGAAACAAACAAACAAACAAACAATCAACATTCAGTACTTTTTGTATTTTCAGACAAAATTGCTTATTGATTTTTGTTTTACCAGTTTCTCTATTGGGACAATGTGCATTCAGTGATAATCATCATTCTGTCAGAAACCCACATTTCATTGTTGATTCCAGGGAGTATTTGATTTTGTACCCCAGCTGCAAGTGACAGTGATGACTTTTATACGAGTCAAGGCAGCCTGATCAATAACTAAAAATAGATGGCTGGACTTTTATAAAATATTGCTTGATTTATTTTTAGAACCTTAACCAGTCCTCTGGAATGACAATACGTCTTTACATACAAGCTGTGAAAAGTGTTTAATTTCTGGAGTCAAATGGAATAAACGTTTTTGTCTTTAGTACCACTAACTGAAAATAAGGCTAAAACAAGGTTATACTTTGTTTTTTTTTCTACTGGAAGCTGATAGAAGTCAAAGGCTGTGACCTTGAGATCTCAGTGGTAGTTATAGTAAGTAATAAGTAGGAGATGTAAAAGTCATAGTAGTAAGGGTCTGAATGTTAAGAGAATAATGCAGGTTGTTTCATGTTTCATTTTCAAGAGTACATTGTAAGAACAAAAAAGAAATTAAATGTATTTTAAATATATAAAAAAATACAATGTAAAAACATTGAGTGAAACAATAAGGACCTCCTAGTTATTTTAGTTTGAAACTCAGTGCCTTAGAAAGTGCGCCTCACTCACATTATTCTTTGGTTTTAATTTGCTGTATAAGACTTTATAATTTTCCATTTCCATGTATTTTCTTAGTAATCAAATTCAATTAATTGTCCAAAGGGACATTACGTGTCTTTTACGAAAGGAAGAATGGACAGGCCATCAAGTTATACAGATAAAGCTTTTTGATCATAATCTTCAATATGAAAGCTCTGTTTTCTGATCAGCTGACTGTGTGAACATCTTGTCTTTCCAGTGAACAAGATATTACTGCTAAAGGCCCAAAGAAAACAGCATGTCTTAGGAAGGAGGTTTCTTTTAGAACATCCCAGCACATTCAGCCACTGACTATTGGGAGCCAGAAGAAGAAAGGACTGCAATCGCAGAACGTTTCTTCATTGGATACCAGAGTACGTGACTCTGAAGAAACAACATACAGGGTATGTTTTACTCTTCCTTGCTCATGCTGCTTGGCAGTATAGGCTGCACCTCCCCCATGACTCCATCCATTAGAAAATGGATGGATGAATATAATTACAAATTAAAAGCAAATTCTAAGCCAAACAATTTAAATGACTGTATCAGTCCTTTTAGACTTTACAGTTCTTTACTGTTTCCTGTGTTTCTTCACCCATGTGGTAGTTTGCTGTCCTTGAGGGAATTGTGAAAAACAAATCTGCTAGAAATAATAGACTCTACCTCACTCTACTCACATCTGCAATTACTATTGCTAATAAGCAGCAGCTTGGTGACACAGACACTGACCAAGCTGAACCTTGCACTCTTGGCTCAGTTTGTTTGGCAGCACGAGATAATAAAGACTTATGGACTAGATACGTTACCCCTAGAAAACAAAATAACATGTCAGTATATTCATTTTTTAATCTTTTCGACTCCAGATATTATTTTTTATCACCTGTAAGGATATTGGACATCTTGTATGGCCTATTTTATTTGATTTAGTTAAATTAGCTAATTTTGACTTTTTGATATGTTGAAATTACTTTTTGATAACAAAAGTACATCAAACTTTCTGTCTGTATTCCAAGATACATTTGGTAAATGCAATTTCATTGTTGCACCAAAAAACTGTGGTTTCACTGGAGGGAAAAACAAATATGATCAGTACCAGTCATGGCGTCCTAATAATCCTCATCTATGAATTGGTTTCCTCACTCTGTTCTCCTCCCCACTGATAGCTGATGTGTGGTGAGCAAACTGGCGCACTATGGCTGCCATTGCATCATCCAGGTGGATGCTGCACATTTGTGGTGGTGGAGGGGAATCCCCATTATCTGTAAAGCACTTTGAGTGGTGTCCAGAAAAGCATTATTATAAGTGTAAGGAATTTATATATTAAATTTAAAAATGCCATCTTCTTTGTTTTCCTGTCATTAAATCCAGAGTCTATGGGCAACATATAATACCGACTATGTGTCTTATCTGTGTATTCTCTGTAGTTCTACAACTTTATTGTACAACAGAGTTATACAACTTTAAAGCTGACCATCACCCCTGAGTTAATAATACTTTTAAATACATTGGCTTGCATTTTTTGCCTTGTTACAGCGTGTCTTTACATGCTATGTAGCTGAGGTCAGTTTAGTTCACTTTGTCATTCTGCTGTTATATAAATGTTCAACAGAGAACAAAATATAGTTTCTCTTAGGCCGAGGTGCACAATACACTAGAACAGCCACCATCATGTTGCAGTACAACACAAAAGAACACACATGAAGGGGGGGACCGAGTATCATTAGCAGCTATTGAGGTAGTATTGGTATATAAGTAAAAATAAAACTATGTAATGAGTAAATAAATATATAACTAAATGAATATTTACAGTAGTGAACAAGACACCCCAGATGGTACAGTTTCAAAATGATACAGTACTAAATACAACCAAATTAATTCATTAGCTGTTTTTGCTACTAAAAATACATAAACTAATTTTCGAAAAACTTTGTTGCTTGGTAGCCTAGTTATGAAATAGTACACTTTTCAAAATGTAGTGCGATTCTTAAAATCTTTCTGCAGGCAATAATTGAGGAACGTGACCAGGAGAGAGAAAGGAGGTGGAAGGCTGAACAGGCAGTGAAGAAACTAACTGAAACACTCAAAAACTTGCAGGTTCGTGCCACTGAAGAGAAAGATCTTCAGAATATGGCACTGTACACCACTGACCGGTATGACATTGTTTGCATTTATGTAATTATTTTTATACTAAAGTACTTTACAATTAAATTACTTCAGTATTCCTCCCCACTGTTAGCTGGTGTGTGGTGAGCGTTCTGGTGCACTATGGCTGCCGTCGCATCATCCAGGTTGATGCTGCACATTGGTGGTGGTGGAGGGGAGTCCCCATTACCTGTAAAGCGCTTTGAGTGGAGATATTTAAGTGTAAGCAATTATTATTATTATTATTATTATTATTATTATTATTATTATTATTATTATTATTATTATTATTATGATATAGGACATTACATGTACATTTACTTGTACTTATTTCACCCACTACTGAAGCACCCACCTGTATAAAACAGAGTAGCCCTTACTTCACAGCAAGGCCGAGTCTACTACTAGTCTACAATCAAGAACCTTAAGCAGGTGAGATTGTGTAAGCGTGAGTGGAGTTCTGCCAGGACACTACATTCCTTCACTATGTACTGAAAATAATGGCCTTTATGTAGCATTTCTTTGTAGCTATTGGTTTATGTCGTCTCTATAAACAGTTATCTTTGCACCTACATGTCTGTACTTATCGAACTGTATGAATCAAGAATAAATTTAGACACTGATGTGAATGTTTAGTTCTATGTTCCTTCATAAGCAACCAGAGTGTATATATATATATTTATTTCATTTCAAAGATTAAAGGAGCTCCTTTTAAAGGAAAAGGAAGAAAAAAGCAAACTCCAGGCAAGTGTTGAAGAGCTGATGGAGAGCAACAAAGCTCTGGTCGGTGAGCTGAGAGAGTGCAAGAGCCGTGAAGAACAGCAGCAGAGGTCTCTGCACAGCCTTGAGGACAGTCTGGCTAAGAGGGAGGCCTTGAGGGCCCAGCAGCAAGCTGAGGAGGTACAGTACACTGGTGGTGCCTTAGGTTACTGAGACAGGTGTGCTTGCATTCTGATGTGGGAATCTCTAAATGGAGTATATCACTGTGTAAGATATAGAGCATTATATGATTAAAGTTCAGTATGCTACCTTGTTGTATAACATTACTGTTTGAGAAGCATACAGTATATTGTAAAGCTAATTATGGTTTAATTGTAAACATAACATTACAGGAATACAATTCAAAACAAATGAAATACAGTGACAAAGTTTTTACATCACCTTAAAATTACACACAGCATATGGTGATATATTTTAATAATAGTCAACGAACCTTTTAATAATTTGAAGCTATGCAGTCTATAATGAATCTTAGTCACTATTGTATACTTTTGCAGGAATATTGGGATTGTAAGACTAAATATATAAAGAAGACATTGCATGATTTCAATAAACACTTTCCCTTATTTACAAGGATTCATCAACTATTATTAGTGTTCATTGGTAATTACAGACATATTCACATTATAAGCGTTTTGGCTGATTGTACTGATGGATTTCCTTTTACACTACTGGAAAAAGAGACCCAATTTTATTTACCTGCAGATGAAAAAGAACCAGGAGTTGGAGTTTAAAGTTGCAGCACTTAAGAGGGAGGTGGATATTCTGAGAGCATCTGTCCGACAGCACAAGGAGAAACTGCAACAAGTGCATGAACTCCTAGCGTCTAAAGAACAGGTGCACAGGTATGCATAAAATACATTAAGAGCAGAAACTGAACAATTTAACCATATTAAGGCTGTGTGTGTACCAGACAGAAGCACTATGCTGGACAGGTAAAAGTGATTGAATTTTCACCAGCTCCTTTTAGATTTTGAGATGAAAGTAACAGTGTAGTACAGTATTTCATTTTAACATATTAACAATTTAACCACTGTCATATTTATGAGTAACTGGCCAATTTTAAGCAGCGAGGGTCTGTGTGGAAGGTATCTGCGCTTCTCTGTGTCTTGGCATGCAAGATTTGTATTCGTTTAACTTAAAAGAAAGAGTTTCAAAAATGAAGATTCAGAAGACCAGAAGATCAGTGACTTAAAATGACGATTCACTAAGTGAACCCTTGTAAATCAAAGAACGGGCGTGCTGTTAATGACTTTTTGATTAAATAATAATTTCCAGTTTCAGGTAACTCTGTAATCACAGTTAAATAGTTACATTCAAATCATTATGATGAAACATGTTTATTTTTCCATATTAATTGGTTAGAAAGGAATTGGAGTCCAGAGTAACTCTGACTGGCCCTGAGTTCAGAGAAGCCTTGGCGAGGGAGGTGGCAGTGGTGGAGCAAAGACATTCTCATCAAGTAACCGAACTGCAAGAGAAGATGGCAGCCATAAGGCAGCAGTATAGCGAGTTGGAAGATGAGTTCCGCATGGCTCTCACCATTGAGGCTACAAGGTTTAAAGAGGTATACAAGACCCATTGTAACCCTTCAGTCTACTATCTTGCATTTTGTAAGACACATAGCCCAAATCTGTTAAATATTTAATATTCTACATAACTATTCCCAAACCTAATGCATGTTAGTGATTCCAGAAGCTTGCTGTCTATAACCATCATTGTTTAGTTACAGGCCATTTTGCTCCAATGTATAAGGTGCTCCACCCAACAGAAAAAACAAACTTTTTGCACATGCATTGAATAGACCTTCATCTTAAAAGCTTTAAAATTACACCTAAAACTCAGATCATATTTTGCACTGGAGTGATGAAAGTCACCCAGTTAATATTCTTCTCTAGTTTCCCTGAGCAGACACCCATAGTTAAAATTAATGACACGGCTGCTGATTCATTTAATTAATTTGTAAATACTAAACATTGAGATTGAATGCTCACTTTCCTTTCTGAACATGGATTGAATGTAACCTACGCTGTGTTGAAACCATGTGTAAAGGAGAACAGAAGTGTTTTCCTTAGTAGAATATAACATAAGGCAAAATAAAGTGAGAAGAAAAATTTGTAACTTTGTAAGTTTCTGTCAAAGACACTAAATAAATCCTTCCTTCTAAATGTTAAATTCCCAATTCAGTGATTACCTTGGTGCTTTAGTCCCATCACTGTCATAAAAGGGGTCATTAGGTCCTGACAATAAGAGGAATCACTTTCATTTGAGGAATGTCCTTGTGATGCAGTGTGTTGCTAATGTATTGAACCTTGGAAGACCTCTCTCTCTCTCTCTCTCTCTCTCTCTCTCTCTCTCTCTCTCTCTCTCCATTCAGTGCATCCTCACAGTGTTGCATCATGTTAAGGTCCAGAATGGTTTTTATTCTTTGGCTTGTGGGAGCACCAGTTCGAGTTATACTGTATTTCTAACTGATCAAAATAAAGATATTGGCAGTTTTTTTCATGAGAATAATGGCTGTTTTTAGTCCCTTCTCTTAGCATAAATATTGTTCTATGTACTAATCTTAAAATCCAGGTAGGTGCCTTGCATCATCTCGAAAAAGTTAACCAACCTTTTCACCTTATAGGGAAAAAAAATGCTGTAGAAACATTGGATCTAAAGTCAAATGCTTAGTCCCAAAATCGATTTGGGACTGTCATGTTTAGATTTGGCACTAAACATGACAAAAACAGCAAGAAATTATTCAAAAAAAAATTATTCAAAAACAATGAAAAACTATACTTTTGTGTAACTGTGAGGTGTTATATGATGTTATGTGTTCTCTTTGAGCTAGGTAAAAGAAGGCTTTGACCATGTGTCAGCAGAGTTATTGGAACACAAGAGAGCCTTGGCTAAGTTCCAGCAGAAGGAGAAGCGGTCTGCAGTTTTGGTCCAGGACCTAACAGCCATGGTGAAAGAGCAGAAAGCAAGAATAGCGGAGCTGGTAAAGTCCAAACAAGAATCTGTCTCGGAGTTGAAGGTATGAGTCCATGCAGCTGTGTGAACATTAATTTGAAGCAGTTATACTGAATGCAAGTATAACACAAAGAGAAAAAAGTAGAGAGGTGCTGAAAATTGTATACATGTCTGAGTTACAGTCCTAGCATTCCAGTGTTCTTTTGAAACGTCAGGTTTCACGGTGACACCCGAGTTGCAAAATTGGTAGGTTCACTTATTCAAAGTGTAGTTTCTGCTCTATGGTCCGCGTGTTTAGATTTCAAGCTTGGGTCATGTGGACTAACTAATTGTGACTGGGATTCCCCAAGCACAATTATTTGAGATTGGTCAGAGTTTTCTCAGCTCCTAGACTGATATTAAACCCTGAAGCTTCCCAGGCACCCGTTGGCTCTCAGTAACATCACTTCTCCAGTCGGTGCTGAACCTCTTGTTTGTCTTTGTAGAGCTTACAAAAATTAACTTTTTAAAATGAATGTTAATTATAATGAGGAAAGTACTTTTTCTGGGTTCAAATTCATATGCTAAATTGTAAAACGGGTGCACTAACCACTGCTTTTCTTTATTATAATCAGTATCCTGTAAAACGTAACATGTTTGTCTTATGTTTTGCAGTTCACATTTTAGTTATTAATAAATACAAAACTATTCAAAGCCTGACAGCGGCACATTGAGATTTATTGACTCCTTTATCCTCAAGTGACATGACTGAGTACTGTGCATAGCATTTAATCTCTTTCAAAGTAACCTTCACTGTCTACACAATGTAAAATAATTTATACACTTTTTTGTAATTAATATTATTATTGTTATCAATTTCTTTTGAGAAATAGGTCTGGCAGTTCTTTCATAGTGTATGTTACAAGGTATAATCAGGGAGGGTGGAAAGTGCTGTACTAACAACTGTCATTTTAAAATGATATAATTGAGGACAGTGACAGACCTTGAGCCTTCTTCACACTTCGAGATGGTTTTTATATTTCTAAATCATTGAAAGTTAATTCCCAGATCATGATAAAGCAACGAGTTGGCACAGCATTTTCATGCCATTAGGAAAATGGAGTGTGTAATGTTAACGAATTAAGGTTTATTTATTCCATGATCGTCCTTTAGGTCACTTATGAAGTCTGTCATATTTTGATATTGATATTCTTGTTTGTAGAGTCAAATACGATCTTTGGAAGCTGTGGTGGAAGAAGACAAGAAACAAAACGTTCAGATTGAGCTTCTCAAAAGGGACAAATCAAAGCTGATTTCACAGCTCACTGCCCAGGAGTCCGTGATTGATGGCCTCAGAGCGGAGAGGAGGATATGGGGGCAGGAGCTGGCACAGCAAGGTGCAGGGGCAGCAAAGGGGTTAATCAAGAAATCATCCCTACTCAGGACCTCAACCTGAAATGTGTCCACTACTGATAAAAACTCATACTTCTAAAAAATGATAGTCATTAATATCAAGAAGACAATCAGATTCTTTATTTTTCTATTAAAACATGACTGGACAGCATCATATTTTTACTTCAGTTTTACCGACTACAATGTTATAAGCACAAGTCCATGTCAAATACATATAACTAAAGATTTTATCTCCAGACATTTCTACAGTTAATGACCAAAGATTCAGTTTTTGTTACTATCTGACTCAACATAAACCATTAGCTCTAACCTATGGGAAAGTACAGTAACTGTTTGGTTAGCTATTGAGCCATCTTTTGAAAAAAAGTGGGATTCACTAAAATAGGCCTAATTTTAACATTATTCATCGTTTTAAATTGTCAAGAAGTACATGGCTTTTATGACCATGATTAACACTTTTAATGTGTTAATCAACTTTCTGAACAGGAAGCATTTTAAGGCCTTTTCCTCCAGGGCAAAATTCCTTTTATAATTTCTGAAATTACAGTAATTGTGAATTTAAAGGACAAATGAAGAACATGGATGTGACAAAAATATTAATGTTTCTCCTTAAATAGGCTTATGGAAAATGACAGTTCAAGCGCTATCTTTTCTTAACAGTTGTTGAGTTTACTTTAATTCCATGTGTCTGCTTTAACATAAGACAGGTTAAAACATGTTAAACGTAATTTCAGACTTTCAGTACAATTGGAAAAGTATAATGAGCTCTGTGTCTACATTAAGAAAATCCTAAGACATTCCAAAAAACATGATGCATTATTTTGTAATTATAAGTTGGAGAAAATAATTGCACTGGTATGAAGAAAAAAGATTTATAACAGAGATTGATGGAAAATCTCAAAGTTTGTCTTCGCTACTTGTTTCTTCAGGGTTCTGACACATCAGGGAAAAAAATTCACACACCTGCTGTCCTACTTCAATACAAACTGATCTCTAGTTCCACCTTGTGGCCATTCTGGCATTGCACCAGTGGAGAGCAGGGATTACTCGGGTCTAGAGCAGAGTTCATTCAGTGTCTTCTTTCTTTCCTTCCACCCTGCTTCTTTGAATTTTCTTTTAAATCCAGCTGTCAAAGATGCCAGTAGAATCCTAACTGTCATACACGTTAAATTATTAATTATATTAACGCAGCGAGGGATTAGGTTGAAATGAAATAGAGAGACACCTGAGGACTGCAGCTGGTCAACCCTGGAGTGCACTTACAGACTCACCACCTATTACATATTACATATATAAATATTATAATATATATATTACATAATTCTGAATTCGTAATTTAATATTGCATGTAAGCAACTAGATGTTTCAGTTAAAATAAGCATTATTAAGCATTTTGTTTATTTAAACACATCAGACATTACACCAATTATTATTAGAACACAATTTCAAATTTCAATCAAATATGTAAAATATCTACAGTAAATGTGCTAGATGCTTGGAAGATATTTTATGAGCAAATTAAATTAAGTTCTGAAAAAAAAACATCTTTATCTGCCTTGTTTTAATATCTCCAGCTGCAAAAAAAACATTAAACACCTCGGTGACTTGCATGAACAGAAAGTAAATTTAACAGTTCCAAACCTTGGCAAGATGCCCCAGTTACTATAGAGAACCATGTTAAAATGGTAATGTACGTTTGTCTTCACAGGGGCTTCACTGGCACAGGACAGAGGCAGGCTGGAGGCCAGGATCGAAGTCCTTTCTGGTGAAATTGAGTCATTAAAGAAACAGAGTGAGCGTGACAACGATGCTTTGAAGATCAAAGCTAAGATTGTGGAAGACCAAACAGAGACTATTCGGAAACTGAAAGAGGTAAAAGTGACACTTGTGGTCGATATCTTCTTGGTGAATCACACCCTACACTACAAACTGCTCTTCCTCTAAAACAGTTTACTTAAAGTTCATTCACTCACACTGTTAAAGTTAATGGGTCGGTACAGGTTTGGAAGCCTTTGAAAGTACTTGCAGTTTTCCAAGTATTACTGTTAATAAAATTAATAAATACATTGAGATACAACAATGTAACATTACAAAATGTATGGATATGAATACTTTAAAGAAATGTCTGTATATTCAGAAATGCAAAAATAGCAGCAGTATAACACATTATAGCTAAGTGCCTGTCATGGTGGGGGAGGGAGGGTAATATTGCACCAGCATGGCTTCACCTGTGTGGGGAATATGAGCTGTTTGATTATATATACAGTAGATCAATGATCCCCACACATTTGATCAAGGTCAAAAATTCAATTCAAGGAGTTCTCTGTTGAGCAGTGTTTTTTCATCTGTAAGTTTCTTCTTCTCTCTTAAAGGCTGTACAGGAAAGAGATGAACAGATAAAGAAACTCCGTGAGGAAATCTTGCAGGCCCAGAAGGCCTTCCGGGAGCAACTGGAAGAAGAGAGAGGGCCAGTACTGGAGCTCCGAGAGCAGGTGGAACAGCTGACTTACAGGAAGGACGAGTTAAAACAGCATCTGGTGGAGAAAGAGACTGAGCTACATGAAGTGAAGAAAGCTTACAGGTACACATTATCTGAGTTCAAACACAAGCTATTTAGTGTTTGTAGTTAGAAAAAGGCTGGAGCCAAAGAGAATTTAACACAAATAACACCAATACTTAGTATACAATTTACTGATATTTCACTGAATAGCCCTTAAAACAGAATACATTCCCTTTTATGTCCAAGCGCCTAGCACAATCTTTCTTTTTTTTCTCAATTTGGAAATTTAACTGATAATCTGACTAAAAATAGTAGTTTCTAATTTTTCAGAGCAGAAGAAACTTTTCTTAAATTTAAGTGAGGGTCAGTTTTGTTTTTAAATAAGAGAATACTTGTATAGTCAATCCATAACTTTTCTGTGTATATCAGTTTTGGTATCTCGCCTTTCATATAGATTAATATGAACAAGCAAGATAAGTGCTGAAATGATTTTCCTTTTAAAGAACCTCAATAGATATGCACTTTCTGACTTGTACATGAGTTTATTTACATAATTACTAAAGTTTCTCACTTACTAGTGGTTACTTGACATGCTTATATTTGTGTTGTTCAAAAATAATGTGCAGATAAGTCATTGCAGTTGGTTTATGAATTTTATAAAAACCATCAGCATCATTTAACGGGTCTGTATATCAGTATTTTACATTATTTATTTACACAGTACTTTACAATCATAGTGAACTTTGCTTAAACATTTTTGCATTTAATTATGTTTAATTATGTTTTAATTTTTCTGCTGTAGTCCCGTTTATTATGCAGGTCAAATGTTCTACATAAGGAGGATTTGTTCTCTCAGCTAATGGATAATTGTTGTTGTTGTTTTTTTGGTGACATTGTAAGCAAAACTGGAAAATATTTTACATTTGATTTTCATAACACCTTGCTTGTTGTCATAAAGTAATCTTGGTGCCATTGTCTTTATTTTCAAACCATTGCAGTGCTATGAATAAAAAATGGCAGGACAAAGCCGAACTCCTGACCCACCTAGAAGCTCAGGTGAAGCACATGAAGGCTAACTTTGATGCCAAAGAGAAAAGGCTAATAGAAGAAAAAGAAATGTGCCTCCAGAGGCAAAAGTAAGTAATAAAATAGACACATTATGAAAATGTCTGTACCTTTCCAGAAAAAAAGATTGCAGGGAAATGTTTATGCTTTTCAGAAAGGCAGACTATAGAGGGACTTTTGTTCATTTATAATGCATAAATGCACTGCACTGCAGTGCTTGCAAGAAACTAAAGTAGTATTTGCCATCGTTATTTAAATTTTCTCACGTACAACATTTCAACATTTTGTCTTGACAGGCCCTTTTAAGATCTTAATATAGAAAGTTACTTTGAAACTTTCTATTGATTTAATTTTGTAATACCCATACATAAGGGCATAATATTTTAAATGGTTATCATATTGCAGTAATCAGATGCATGTAATTTTAAATATACAAAGAGTGAATTGATTTTCATTTTGACAAAATCCAAAGGAAATTGCTTATTAAAAAAATTGACTTGAAAAATATGCATTTCAGAGGGCAAATGCAGACTCACAGGACAAAATGTACAGTATCTATGGTATAAGTATAAACTAGTATTCACAGTATGGCTGTGGATGGTTTTTATGTAATGCCTAGTTATTTTTCTGTTTCATATTCCCAGTTTTAGAGCTGTAAACCTACTTTTTGTTTTAAGATCATTTTTGTCTGGTAATGTCAGTAATATTTTACATTTGGTATGCATTTATTTATAGGAGTCATCACAGGTATAAGGTTTATCATATGTGTATTTTTCCATATGTGTACTCTGGTATTTTAGAGATGCTGTGGGGAAACTTCACTCTATAGATGATGCCTTCAGAAGACAGCTGGAGTCAGTACAGACAGCACATCAAGCAGAGCTGCTTCACTTGGCCACTGAAAAGCAAAAACAGATAGAAGAAGCAAATCAGAAGGTAATGATGCAAGTCTAGGGACTTAAAAATATTCAATTCTTGTTTTGAAGTTCTGCATTGTTACATGACTGTAGATATTATACATACTTATTGTTTTTAGATTCCCACTTAAAAAAGTCACAGGTATAGAGACTTTAGTACTTATAGAGAGTATAGTGGTATATACAAGACATAACTGACGTGTCCTGTATAAAAAATTGAAATTTGCTTATACACTATGCTGTTGTATATGTCGGAGGCATTTTGAAACTGATCAGCTGACAAAAGCTGTCAGTATGTTTGTATAACTATTGTATAATTATTCCAGGTGTAATAACCCTAAATGTAATAGCAGCTCTATTAAGCTGAAAACCATGAAAGTGCTAGTTCATTTTTGAGGACTCTAATTACATCTTCTCTAAAATTAAAGGAAAAAAGTAGCTTTCAAGTGTTGTAAATGTAAAATGTAAAAATATGTAGCACAAAACAAAGTGCTGGACTTCCCATTGAAAAATTCAAGAAACCTCATTTACTGCCTTGAAACCCATAGGTGTATCTTGACTCTAAAAACGCCACAACAGTGATCCCTGACTGATAACTCTGATCAAAATTGAATTTGGCGTGTACTGACCAGCTGATGTCTATATCCATCTATAACCTGTCATCTCTGTCTATCAGTCCACTCTCCCAGTCTAGATACTGTAGGTAAATGGTTAGTTAAATACTGTGGTCAGGGTCTCAATGTTTAATCAACATTTGTGATGCTTTAGGTGTCAATGTTTTGTCTTGCAAAGGTATTTCAAGTGGAAGGAGAAATGAGACAACTTCTAGAAGAAACAGCAAGCAGCAAAAGAGCAATGGAGGAGAAAATGAGAAGACTCACAAGTGTCCTGAGAGACTTCCAACAGTTATAAGGGTGTTTCCTCTAGACCTTACATATGTGTTTTGGACACCCATGCCCTATGTAAATGTTTGGACGTGATAACTATTTGCTTCTAAACCACTGTAATAAATCTTTTTCATTGTTCACTTTTTATAAATCAGTCAACCATAATATTAAGATGTAGTTGTTTGCAGAGAATGTAGAGCCCTTCATTGATGTGTAGAGTCCAGCAAAAATCAAATACTGATTTCTGTCCAAGAATTAACATTGTAGATTTGTTTTGTATTTATTTTTGTAATAGAAGTTTTTATATTTTAATATATTAACTTGTTAAATAGTGCTAATGTACTGTATACAGAATTCGTTAAGCACTTTGGAAACAAGTTGTTTTCGAAAATAAACTCTTTGATTACACTTAAAGGCAAACATTCCATTTACATTTGTTTTTTTTCGGCCTTGCATAAGCTCAGAATAGAAATCCATATTTCATACTTATAACTCCATTTATAATGATATATGCAAACCAAAGTACTGACATGTCATATACTGTAGGTTCCTGCAGTATTAAATGTGTTACTTAACCGGAGGGTGTAGACAGATTAAATGAAGTGATGTTTAAATTCAAATAGAAAATCAGATCCTGACACCAGCTTGCTTTGCAAGCAAATTACAAAAGTAAATAACTGTTTTTCCCTTATTGTTAGGGAATAATGAGTGGTAACAAAGAGGCATGTGATCTCTGTGTACCCAACACAGTGAGGAAATGGAAAAATAAGTCAGCAAACATAAAAGAGGAACAACTAATTATTGATGAGAAATCAATTCTATTATTTATTTACACGTACTGTGAGTATCTGGCAGTAGCCTTTTACAGAACTAGGAAACAGAGCTAAACCTTGCAGATGAGGCACAAATGCCTTGCAGAAAAATGAGGAACCTCTTTCGTGCACAAGAAGACGGACCTATGCAGGACTAAATCACTCCCTAAACAGATACAAAGGAGAAAAAATTCCCTTATTCCAAACTGGCATCACAATAAAAGCAAGAGATTTCTTTAGCCTTGTAGATACCACAAATAGAAAAGAAATATTCCTATATCAATAAAGCAACAGCCCCTTACCTGAATATTAAAATTTGACTCTTCAGTGCTCCAGTTACCAGTTTGTGTTTCGTATTATGGCTGGCTTGCAAAAACAGCAAATATTGTATCTTGTGTTCTGACTGCATATTTCTTCATCCAGCTACTGTACAACCCTTTAAAATTCTGTAACTAACTTCACGGATTAAGCACAAACGTTGAAATAACGATTAATAGGCCTTTGTAAATTTATAAAATCGAAAATTAAAATTGAAGGTATTGACAGTTCATATCAGAAATTGATATGATACTGGATGCCATTCAATTGATAACAATTTGATTCATAGTCAGTTTAACTTTTATTTGATTGGATGTAAATCAGATATAAAGCCTTTTTCCTTTTCAGCTGTGCAACAGAGATGTGTACCACCACGTAGAAGTATACCATTAATGGCTCTCAAACGCTTAGGTAATGTGTTGGTATGGTATTGGTCTTTTTTTTTTAAGAAAGGCTTTCATCCATGTTCTGCTATACGGAGGATCTTCGGTTATTTGGTTGACTCGTGTATTTTGCGATGCATAAAATAGGCTCGGGTGGAAAAGAGCATACAGATAAGGGACGAATCCTCAAATTTATATCGCCGATCTAGGTTATGTAGTCCATTTCGCATATGAAAAATTGGAGGATTGGCAAAAAATTTAGAAGAAGCTAAGAAAATTAAAACAAAAACAGGTCAACATTAGGTAAAAACCTAGCACGTAACATTCCATGTAGACAGAGCAGAGTTATTACATACAGGTAGCAGAAACATGAACTAGAAATATTAGGAAACATGTCTTGACAAGGTAGACATGAAAAACGTGTGTACGTTGACACCTGCACTCGAGCAAGGGAAGGACAGTGACTTTCGTTCTCACCTGCATTTTCCCAAACTAATGATAACAATAACGTTGAATGTGATACATTATTGGTACAATAATAAAAAGGTGCGGATCTTAAATGCACTCAAATATCTGTGAATCCGTTTAGTACAATTTTGGTGTTTTTCCGACATGAATTTTTTGTAACCTTGTTAGTTTTCGAATAATTTCCAAAATAGCACTAGTTATTGACTACATCAATAATAATGGATGGCAATGTGCCCAACTAACTGTGGGCTATTTTGGAATTTTGACCGAAAACATTTGACTCTTTTTTTTTAAATCTAGCCAATGCGAGGAAATAAATTGGGGAAAAAAGAACAATATTAAGCTAAAACGTCAGAAATGAAATCAATAGATGTTTAAAAATTGACCGATTACAGGGGGGCACGTTTTAATATTAAGGTATGTTTGCACCCATGTTTTCGAAGATGGCTTGTACACTGGCTTTTTCCAGCGGCTCGATGAGTTCCTCCTATCAACTAGTAAGCCAAGCAGGCGAGAAGGGACAAGTGGCCTCCTTTCGTTTAACCTTTCTTGGGTGGTGCTGTTCTTTTAAATGTCCGCTCGTATTTTTAACAGGTGAAGTGGGGTGTGTGTGCTTCTTTTTTTCCTCGTGTGCGGTTGCTTTGGCAACAGTCGTGCAGCGTCATTTCCTGCTGGAACCTGTGCTTCCAGAGTGGTTTGTACAGGGGAGGGGGGAACCAAGAAAGTAATGATCTCGGTGACCTGAGCCTCATCCCGGGACAGTGTAACCACAGCCCTGGTCGGCACGGCGCTTTGAGCTGGGGACAATGGCGGAGTCCGTGTTCTCCAGCCCGCAGACCCGCAGCCCGAGCGGGTCGTATCGCTCCGAAAAAGGTTTGAGTCTCCTCACCACCAAGTTTGTGTCCCTTATGCAGGAAGCCAAGGACGGCGTGCTTGATCTCAAAGTGGTCAGTGTTCCTTCGTTCGCATTTGAGTTTCACCAACGTGTACTACCTACTTCCTCGTCTTGTTGCCTTGGACGAGCCTGTTTTTGGTTTCCACGTGGTGTGTTGCTCCCACAGAAGAACCCTATTTTGGTCTTACTCGCTGCTGTGGGCAGCTTTCTCATTCCGCGTATTAAAGCCACCCATGGTTCAGTCAGCAGCTCTGTTTTGATCTGTGTGCCTGTTATGTTTATTTTCATTCCAAGATGGTTTGCCCATGGGCTCCTTGTTGGTTTCAATTTAATGTCCAATCCCGAAGGTCCCAGCTGTGTATTTAGTAAATTCATGTATCGAACCCTTGAGTGTTGCGACTGAAATTCGTTTCCACTTGACATTTACTTTCGCGACGTTACGACTTTAATTATGGCCATAGTGGGCACTCGCTCACATCCATTCCTCCTGCTGAGTGGCACAGTTCAAGAGACGGAAGGGGAAAATACTGTATGGACCTTTCTTACAAATACAGGCTTAGATTGGCTTTGTACACGAGTAATTGTAATCATGGTCATTATTAATAATAGTACATTGCATTAATTTACTGTTCAGTTAATGTAGGGATTTAGTAAAGCCCGAACTGAGCTATGATTATAATAAGCATAACATACAGAAATACAATCAAAAATAAGAACAATCTTCATATCGCTGTTGTAATATATCGTATCACAATGAACCATAAGACTTTTATGCAATGACTAAAACATGTCTGAACAGATCTTCTTTCTGAATCGTATTAAAGTTATTTTCCAAGTGCAGTACTGTAATTTTGAACAATGCCTGTGTACTACATTGACAGAAAATGAATTTTCTAGAGGAATGTAAACTAATTGTTCATGAAAACACTTTAGGTTTATTTGCACAGATTTAAAATACTTTTGTATTTAATTAACAAGACTCCCAATTCATTTTTTTCCAATGATCTTTATTAATTAAAGAAAGGACTTTAGAAACGTTTTTAAATGTATTGGTAATGATTGATGGCAGCAATAAATACATTTACATGTTTTTCAACACGAAATTATATGGGACCATTAGTATAAACGGAATTTAATAAAGGATCACTTTGCGTTCCATATTTTCTGTTCAGTATTATTCTGAACATTTATAGAACACTTTGTTTATTGTTTGATTTTTAGATTTACTATTTTTAAGGAATGCTTGTTTGATACCTTTGGGTTTAGTGATTGGCTTTGTTTAGGTGAGAAATGTAACCTTTTTAGTGGTTTTCACTGGACCTAATTATTTATAATGCAGTAGGTAATCAAAATTATTTTCTGTAAATTAAACTTGTAGCCAAACAACTGGGCAGTATAATTAAAATAAAATAACGTTCAATTGAATTCGAACGTATACATGCCATATAAAACCAAAAATGGTCCCTGAGACTTAAGCCTTACATTCTTATGTTCCAGTATTATAACCTTTATTATTAAAATTTAAAAGTTAATATAAATAAATTATGCTGTAAAACCATTAATTTTGTGTTTTGGTAAAACATGTCCTTTCCCAGAGAGTAACTATATTTCCTTGTCTTGATAGCTTTTATTAATAAAGTAGAATTTTAACAAATACGTTAGAGTACCCTGTTTGTTTTGTTGTGTCGCAATGGGTCAGTGCATTTCTGCAATTGTAGTTTCTTTGTATTACAATTTAACTTAGAATGATTGTTTCTGGTCACGGCACACGTAGTTTTCTTATTCATTCCTGACCTATTTTTCTACTGTGGAATTGTAGTTCTGCTTGTACAGCTTGTTATTTAAATGAACAAGTAAAGGTTTATTCCATGCTGAAAAGAAATGAAACTCATCATTTTTGCTGTGGAGCCTTCTTCGGGTACCACACCCGAAGAAGGTTTTACAGCCGAAGCATTGCATTGTTTTTCTTCTCTTTTCAGCATGGAATAAATCTTTACTTGTTCCTTTGCAGCTTACGCATGCTGATGTAGCTCCCTACTTGTTATTTAAATATAAATGCCTATTGTGGTGCCAGAGAACCCCAGTACAGTTGTTCTTACAGGTCATCCTAAATGACCTGTAATTTAAAGATCAAGAGCACTTCAAGTTATTGATCATTTAGGGAATGTTTCAAAGTAGAGAACTCTAGTCCTTGAGGGCTGAAGTATATTCTGAGTTGTATTCGAAATTATCTTTAATTATATTGTAAAATTGAAGATACCTCCTATTTAATCGATCAATTGATCAATATTGGATTGGGGTCTTCAGGACCAGAGTTGAAGAGCCCAGGTCTAGAGTATAGTCTGAGCATCTCTTGATGGGTTACAGGGGTATTCTGGTTTTAGCCATAGGGACTGTTTATTTTGATATATTTTGCTTTTTATTAGGCAGCTGACAGCCTTGCTGAGTGGCAAAAGAGAAGAATATACGACATCACCAATGTGCTTGAAGGAATTGGCCTTATAGAGAAGAAGACTAAGAACAGCATTCAGTGGAAGTAAGTTAATGGCATGGAGGGATGTTGTTTATAGTCACAGAACATTCCCCGAAAATCCTTCCCGATACACCATTCCCAAAATTGATTTATTTACTGAGATAGTATTCTGTAATCATGGGAACAAGTAATAGGTTTATTCCATGCTGAAAAAAAGAAGAAAGAGAACACAACGTTTCGGCCGTGGAGCCTTCTTCAGGTGGCCAGGTTATTCTGTAATCATGTTTATTTTGTTCCTCACACTGAAGAGGTGTGAATACCAGGTGCAACACCAAAGAAATTACAGACCGGGTACAGTTTTTAAAGGCTCAGATTGAAGAACTGGAAATGAAGGAAAAAGAACTGGACACTCAGAGGACCCTGCTTCAGCAAAATACAAAAAGGATCTTGGATGATCCTATGATCAACAGATATCCTTTTTTAAAATAGGTGTTGAGTAAATATTGTAGGGGGGAAATTTTGGGTTTTATTCCTGGAAAAAGGGAGTTCTTTCTTTTATTGCCCATTGTTTTTGGAAATGGCAGTTCGGCTTTTATTTTTTAGGTTGTTTGGGGCAATTTTTCAAGGACCTTTTTAATTTTTTTTTATTTTTTGGGGGCTTTGTTTAATACAAAACTTCACATCTTGTTTTAATTCCCTTTGCATATTGTCTGTAACAGACTGTGGAATGATGTTCCAGATATGCTGCAATTCTTCCAATGTGCTTGACTTGTATCTGCATTATCCATGTAATTCCGTATGGGCTGGGGTGTTTGTAACAGAATCTTGTGGGCATCTTTATACATTTTCCACCAGCATTTTTGCATTTCAAACAATTTTCAGTGCAAAGGCTTCACTTGGGATCACTTTCATGTAGAATCCCTATCCTATTGGAAATAATGGCTGCTGTACACTTTGGGTATCATGTTATTCACGGTTTTCCATTTCAGGAATCTGGCCACTATGTTATATGTAAACATTCTGCAAATCTTCTGGCCACAGTCATAATGCATTTCTTATCCGCCACATATTGAGAAACATTCATTGAAACCTCCCGGGAGGATAACTGATATCATGACCATTTTCCGTGGTGGAAATAATTTGGTAGCTGCAGTTTTATAAAGGCACCTTAAAGATATTCCTTTTCCTTAACATATCAAACATTTGCGTATGTGACGCATGATGATATCTGTAATGCCTTCGGTGGTGAGTATATCTTTTTAAATTTCATATTACAAATATATTCTTAAGTGGAAGGTTATTTTGATAAATGCATTTTAGATTTTGGTATTCATCTGAACCATACATGCCTTTGTTTAGTGGTTGGCATTTTCATTAAATAAATAGTATTTGCACTAATTTATTATATCCTCCTGATTTGAAATAGCCATTTTTTGTGTCAGTCTGGCCTAACAGCTACGAACTTTGTATTCACCCACAGTTGAGGATAAGGAAGTGTAGGCAGACTCCTCCAGTTTGCCCACCTTTGATCCTCTCCAATTTTTAACACGCCACAGGCTGTGCAGGCCCATGCAAGGGGTTGGGTACCAGCTGGGGGAGATCCTTGTCCCTCACTCACAGCACTGCATGCCTGCGAGCACCCAGGAGCCGACAGGGGTCAGTGTCTCACTGAGATCCAAGAGAACCCTGACTGACTAATCCCAGCCTCCCCAGTGCTGCACTGGGAATCACAGTCATGGTCAGCTTGTGAGATGACCCAGGCTCTAGCCTGTACACTGGTGATCCGCTTTAGTGGTTGAACCACTCTGGGAGCCCATGTGAGCATGACAAGTGATGCTCTAACAGTGTTACAGCGTTATGAGTAAAACCATCTTGAAGATCAAAGTGGAATTGAAATCCAGTTTTAAATCAGGTTTCCAATTACATTTTAAGTAATGGTATAAGAGCATGAAATCCATTTAACCTTGTGAATGCCGTTGACAGTTTTAAAGTTAAGAATCGGGTCCCTTAAGGGTCTTCTGGGCTTAAAACTAAAAAGGATCAAGATTTTAGTGTATGATATTCCTTTAAGTCCAGTTTTATTGATTCTGCCATTTTGTAAATGATGTCTTGTACATTGTAGAATTTTAATATAACAACCTGCATTTTTAAAATTAAAATTCTGTGTATTCATGACTGTTGTTTCTTGTTAATTCTATTAACAGTTATGTACGCATAATCTTCTAAATCCATTTTCACTTTTTCCTAGAATCCTGTTACAGAATACTATTACCATACAGCCAATCCTCTATAAAAACTACTAGTTCAGTTTTTAGTATCATTTGGTAGGACTCTGCTCTTTAGTATAGTCATTTCTCTAAGCATTCTAGAAGTAAGATGTGACTTGGTCTACTATTTTTTTGGTTTTGTCACACCTTTTTAAAAATTGATGCTGCATTAGTAGTTTTAAAACCATTGGATTTTTATACCTATTGTGATTGGGAAAAACTGTTTAGATGTTAAGTTAAAAGCACTCTTTTAAAAAAAATCTGACAAATATTACATTATTTTGTTATATAGTTACTGTTTTTTTTAAAATCTATCCATTTCTACCAGTAAAGCTATGTGCCAGCTTAATGCCTGCCCATATGATTGAAAAAGAATGTAAATGGTTTATCAATCTGTATTTTCCCCATGCTATGAAGTAGTTAATATTTTGTCTCTTTTTGTGAATGGGATGTATTAGATTAATCTTATGCTTAAGAGTGTTTGTCATACTCAAATCAATATTCAGTGTTTTATAGATATAGCAAGCCTATGATGATTTTGCCATAGTTTGAGGCTGCTCATTTAATGTTTTTAAAATCACTTCTTTACATTATGGAGTGCTAAAAGCAAGCGTGATTGTCCATAATCACTATAATTTGGATTACTTTTCCCAAAGGTGACACACTGCTGGCTGTTATTGCTCCCTCTGGGACACAGTTAGATGTGCCTGTCCCTGAGCCGGTACGTAACAATCTATAATGGTAATTTATTAATATATATTTTATCTTGTGAACACTGCACTCAGGGGAATTAGGTTCTTTCCAAGAAAGATTGCCAGTTGAGAAAAACCTTTCATACTCTTGTGTCTTGAAAATTGTGGTAAAGTGCTTTAAATATATTGTAAATTTTAAGGCCACGTCATTTCTTTAATTCGGACAATAGAACTTTGCAGCCCATCATCCTGATACTGTGGTATCTCTTTTGAACATTTCTAGACATGTGGAAAATTGTGTAATATTGTGTAACAGGGAGTGGCAGGTCAATTACAGTCTTACCATGCATCTAATGAGCACTTTGAACCTTTTCAGTCAAGCCTACACTGATTTTTTTTAATTAACACTTTAAGGTAATGATTTTCTGATGGCTTTGATTCTGAGTCACTTAATGTTTTTTTCTTTCTGTAACTGCTGCCAATTACAGCACGCTACTGCATCTCATGGAAAGTTATCTGGGGATCACTTCCCTTTATTGGTTTGGCTCCTTTTTGTCTACTAGAAGCCAATTTGTAAATCTCTGACAAATCTGATGTTATCCAGCTTGATCAGGGTGTTCCGCAAGGTTCTGCGCTGGGCCCTTTACTTCCTAGTATTTGCACATTACCTCTTGGTCATGTCATTCATCGAGATGGATTTGGGCTTTCATTGCTATACTGACTATACTGAAGTGCAACAGAACTTTAAACTGTCATGTGACTGAGGTTATGCTCATAGACTTCCAACACCAGCTAAACAAAGTTGGTAACTTGAGTGTTAATGGTGCCGAAATAATTATGTCCAGAATTCCGTAGCTGTACTAATTAAAACTTACTTCCCATAAGCTTACCGCTCCATTCTGTGAAATACAGTGTCTCCAAGTGAAAGTCAGTGTTCTCCTGTTCAAGTGTAATGCGCCAAATAGTCCAGCTTCAATTTGTCCCAAGGGACTTTTTTTTTTTTGCACGAGCATAGTTTAGTCCAGCTCTTAATCAGCTGATTCCAGCCTTATTCTACTTAAGACCAGGTATCCACACAATGAACGATAAGAGCCTTTTCAGCATCTGTAGACTTCATTGCCCATATCTACTAAGGACACTGACAACTTTTTCAAAATGTAAATATTCCTCTTTTCACTAAAGTTTTAGTGATTAGTTTTTGTGCAGGTTTCACTAAGTCAGACTTATGTGCTTTTCCCCCTATGTTTATTATTGCTTTCCTTGTATATTGTGACCATATATTTGCTGTGTTTCTTAAAAAGTGCTTATAATTGAATAAATTATTGTAATTATTTTTTTTTTTTTTTTTTATAAGGGTCAAAATGGCCAAAAGAAGTACCAGGTAAACTTGAAGAGTCAGACTGCACCCATTCAGGTGATGCTGTTAAACAAACCCTCCAGCTCCTCAAAACCAGTGGTTTTGTCTGTCCCACCACCTGATGACCTTTGTGTTGTTCCAAGTCCACCAACCACACCAGCCAGTTTGGAGAAGTGCCACTCTTTCATTCCTGAGCATGCAGTCCCTTTACAAGAACAGTACATGACATCTGCAGTAGACTTACAAATCGGTATGTGCATTTCTTATGTATTCTGATACCAAAGGACTATTTGTATTTCCTCTTTCAAATGATAAATTTAAAAAAAAGTGTCCTATGTTGCTTCTCAAATTTACTGCTGAGTGCATAGGAGGTAGGGTAATAATTTGTTAATGTAGTGCTTTCTGTGAGTGATTATTTTCACACCAAAATTATCCTGCAAGTGAAAATGGCAGACATGTCTACTTTTTTTAGCTTCTTATATTTTAAAGGGTTGTGTAAATAAGTGTGTAAGTGAAAGTGATTAGCAATATTAACTACCATTAGTGAAGATAAATTGAACAAATTGTTTTACAGTTTGTATTACTCTTAGCTTAGTGAATGAAGGGTGCCAATGCTTACATCACCAATTGTGCAAACATGGTACAGTTCTCAGCATTATCACTAGGAAAAAAATGAATAAACTTTTTCTTTCTTTTTAGACTGCACTGTCAGATCTGGTCCATGTTTAACGATGCCAGTTTCTTTAACTGCCACAGGCAGTGAAACAGAAAGTAATGATGATATTCAGCAGATTAATGCAGATGATCTGCAGACCCTGCTTCCCCTGGATGTAGGCAGTATGCTAAACATGAGCACTGTAGACCAGAGCAAAGAGGAAACTGAAGGTAAGACAGGTTCTGCACTTCATGGAGAACACAGAAATTAAAGCATCACACATTCGGTAGTGTTTGTTGAAATTAGTATTTGTTTTTATTTTCCCCATCCCAAACATGGTTCATGTTTCTTTATAGATCTAATGTCTTTACCTCTATAAACTCCAGAAAACATATGCAAAAACATAACTTTAATGGATTGCTTTTACTACAAATGTGATACTTCCCTTGTGATATGGGCATTTCTGGTTTGCGCCTTGTTCATGTTAGCAAACATGAATAGGATCTGTGTGGCAAAAAGCCATGGAGGACAGTTACCTCCTTATAGTTGTTGGATATTACCTGTTACTTTACTGAAGAATAAAATGCAGTCATGCTTGCAGGTGTTGCAAATGTTTTGTTGAGGCTGGAAGTTTCTAATAAACTTTTTATTCACTTTTATTACACTTATGCCCTTGATATGTAAAATAATTTCACAAATGGCACACTTGACTATTTTATCTGTATTTCTGATTATTATTTTTGTGCATTGTTAACCATTTCTGTGTGCTTGTTGAATAATACAAATGTCCGAACAGAAATTGAGATCACATGTAAAAGAAACATCCATTACATCAGGGATATGTGATCCAGGGATATGTGATCTTACTTTACAATTTAGATTTCAGTCTTAGTTTTAACCAGTCGTTTTAACCTCAATTTGAACAAAAGTTAACTTGCCATTTTATGTGCATGCATTGCAGAGTCCACTGTTGGGGATGTATTACAGGAAATTATGTCTACTGAAGGTACGAATTACAGTATTTATATTGGTGACTGTGGTGGACTGGTGTTATGTCTAGGGTGTATCCCACCTTGAACCCATTTCTTGCCATGATAGGCTTTAGTTCCTATGTCTCCCTGTATAGAATAAAGCAAGTAGAAAATGGTTTATTTAAAATATGGACTTTTTATGCAATATTGACCTTTGAAAATTTGTAACTAGAAAAGGGATAGGCATGCTGTGCGAATGTGTATTTCAGTTTCAGGCCGTTTTCTCTCTCACTCAAATTTAGAAAGAAGAAAATGGAATTGCTTATAAGAACATTATGATTACGTAAATTATGAAAGTGTTAAAGAATTCTTTATGTTAAAATTAGCTGTTTAAACTTCTTTAAAGCCAAACCTACTCTGATTTCACAGTCTTAATTTTTGATGGGAAATTGTATTTGATAAGTTCATTAGCAAGAATGGTCAAATTAAATTAAGATAATCCGTTAAAGTGAAATTATTGTGAATATAAAGCAATTAGTGTATACTGTTTTAATTAATATAGTTGCCTAGATGCTTATTTCACTATGTACTGTCTTAAATGATTGGCTTTGTTTAAGCAAGTTCAAAGCACTATTATTCATTTTATTTTAAATAAAAGATAGATTTTTCAACATTTGATGCATCTTGTATGAACCTTGTTCTCACAGTGTAACCTTACACTGTGATAGAAAACGATCTCTTACTTCCAAATGCTAGCATGTCCTAAAAAAAGCAAATTCATTGAAATGTCTGAGATTTCAGTCTCTCCTAGCACAGCTGCATGCAAATCAAATAAGGGATATAGTAATTAATTCTGTTGTTGGGGGAGATCTGTATACAATTACTGCTGGTGTATCCATGGTAGTTAGTACAGTAGCTCTGAAAAAATAAAACAAATGCTTTGGATACTGCTTATCCACTTTATTTTTATTGAACTCTTCTGTGAGTAAAATCCCTATAAAAATCTTTGCAGTTATTCTATCCAAAATTCCTTATAACTCCCTTATTCCTTTACCTCTATATGTAAAGAAATTCACACCTTATCTTTTTTTCTCATCTCCTCATCTTATAAAGAAAGAAATCTTTTCTTCAGAAAACAGATTTTTTAATGAGTCTCCTGAAAAACTGACTATTTTTTACTTTTGACAGTTTATAAATACTTGGATTTAATATAAAACATATCTATTGCTTTGCAGTTCTCCCTTTGCTGCAGCTTTCACCAAATCCAGAGTTGGGATACAGCTTCAACCTGAATGATAACGAAGGACTCGTTGACTTATTTGATGTACGTATTCTTAATTATTAGTTAAAATTATGCCTCGAGTATCATGACTACCTCTGCGATCATACCCTTTCTAATTTGTGACTGATGTGTATAGTGGAACTTATAACATCTCCAGTTACAGGGGGTTTTGATTTTTTTGTTTTCCCTTTACAAATAAAAGCTGTAAAAACCTCTCTACTACACGGTCAGTAAGAAACAAAATAGGAAGTCTTTTAATTGCTTTTTTTAAAAGCTTTTAGTCCATTTGGTGATGTTGGTTAAAATTAAACACTATCGTTCATTTTTGTCTTCTGTAAAGTTATACTTTAATATTTTAGATTATATGTAAAGTGTTTAATCTTTTGGTTTTTTTTTACTTTTTAAAGTTTTTTTGCCCTTTTGAACCTGTCAGTCTTTTCTTTCTTTGTCCTTTACGTTTATGAAATCGATTACTGGAACCCTCAAACTTATATGATTTTAATGTTTTAATATTTGACTACAGAGCACATTTTTTAGGTCTGAGTGACTAAGTACATTATGTCATTTTAAAGGCCTTTGACAACATCTTTGTTTCTGAGAAGTTGTTTGTGAAATACAAGATCATCCATCATCTGATTCTGTGTCATATCTCATCCAGATCATATCTCATTCTTTTTTCGTTATTTATATATTAAAGCCATGGTTCTCATTTACATTTCTATCACATTCCAGTTTGTACCTGTCTTTGGTTACTCAGACCTAATACTTCAAGCATTTCTCCCAAACTGTGCTGCATTTAATTAACTTTTAATAAGGTGGAGGATTGGGGTGACCGATTTCATCTGTATGAATCCATAGACCATATACTGTATTTAATGTTCACTGAATAAAGTGCCTTTTTGAGTACTTGTGGGATTGTTCTTCCATGATTAATGGAAACTATTTTCTGTATTTTTTGTACAAATGTAAAATTGCACATTTTTAATAGACCAAAGTTTTACATGAAAATGTAAGAATAAAGCATTATATTGTTACACAGTTCATTCTGGTCTTTTTCATCAACTGATTGGTTATAGCTGAGAAAACAGCTGGGTAGTGTCATCCACATTTAGCATTTCAGTAGGCTGAACTTTGGTGACCTAAAGAAAAAAAGTGCACAAAAAACACCATAGGAAAGGTAATTAATCTTTTAGAAGACCACCAATGAGATAACAACAAAAGACCTAAAGATAATAAAGTCACACTAATATAATTACTAGTAATGAGTAAGCAGTCCTTAAGATGGTCAATTAACAATGCAAAATAAGGAAGAAGGACATTTTAACATGGTTAGTTTCAGCAACACCAATTTTCAGTTAACTACAGTGCACTGGCTGTATATTAAATTATTTTTTGGGTCAGATATTGCAAGTTTTTGTTACAATACAATGATATCTGCAAATCCATCTTATATTTGGCTAGTGAATTGCATTAGATTTTAGTCATCTTTGTATAGGTAGAACATCTTACCTGAGTCTGCAGTTTTGGTTCCTGCACTGTACATTTTGACAAACTTTTAACCTCCCTTTGAACATTGGTGAATATTTTGTTTATGTTGTCCACTTTTTCATTTTTACAAGCATTAATCTGAGAAAGCAAGCAGACAACAATGTAAATAATACAATGAATGAATGTACTCCTTTGAATAATTTCTTAGAATTTATTACTGTATTTTCTTCTTCAGTTTTATCAGTCATTTGAAAAAAACAAGTGGGCTCAGTGCTTTTTGGCTTCTGCCAATGCAGTCTGGTACACAATTGGCCCTTTATTTTACACAAGTTCCCACATTTCCCTAAGTCTTTAACGACAAAGTATGCATACTAACATCTCTCTGAAGTAAAGGATTCATTAGACTCTTTGTTTTATGTTTTGTAAATGCATCACACATTGTGAGCTGATGAAGTTTCTTAATTACAAGAATATTTAATCAAAACTGAGCTCTCACTCAGCTACATCTTTTGTTTTAAACTTGAAATCTTGAAAAAGAACAAGCTGCATAACATTGTGCTTTAATCTGGCTGGAAAGCACTAATTGATATCCAAGCATTATGGATCACAAGCTGAAAGACTGCATTTTTGAAAATTGACTGCCTCTTGGTACTAAAATTGCAATTAACAGATGAAGAAAATGTAAAAAACCTGAGTTGTATTAACTGCATTGGAAATTATGAATAGCTGAAATCCATGGAAAAGTACTCTGTCATTACATTGAGAGGCATGTTCCTTGTCCTTTCCTGCAAATTTGTCAAGATCTTTAACCTTAGTATGTAGTATTCATGAAAAAAATACTAAGTACATTTCCTCAACTGTAAGACCAAAGAAACTATTTAAGAAGTGTTAGGCCTCCGATAATGCACTAAATCTAATCTAATGTTAAATATATCATCTTCAATTCTGTCCAGTGCTGTATCATTGAGACAGCACTACTAACATTTAATAGAGAAACGCTGGGATTTATAACACTATGTTTTTATAACAGGGATAATTTGATTTGTAGCCAAATCTACAAGTCTTTCATTGCATGTAGGATCACTGATGACTGATGGGCTACTTTTCAAGGTATACTGTGATAAAGAAGACATTATCCACAGTACCTAAGAGAGAATGTTGAAACCTGGCTGGGGAAAAGTTTTAATATTGGTCACATTCCATGATGTTTCAATGAACTTGAACTACTTAATGCTGTTGTATAATACAAAGTGATTGGATTTGCTTTGATAAAGTGTATGAAGTTCTCTCATATAGAAAGTGGTGTCCACAGCTCTGCACAGGTTTTATTCCTCCTGATTATATTCTCCTGAGATTTTTTTTTGCCACATCAAACCCCAAAACAAACTGAGTTGACCTGACCTGAGTCAACTGATAATATCAAAGATTTTTAACTCTAAGCCTTTGATGGCAGTGATTTAGATTAATGACAAGTAGGCCTTTCAGCCCACTAGACCTGTGTAAACGTTAACGGTTTTAACAGTAACAGTAAATTTTTAACAGTAAATTTTGTCCTTAAGAGTTTTGGGAATAAACTGGATACAGAAGTTATTAATGATAAAGGTACTACTAACCACTCTTAAAAACCTTTTATCATAAAGTATGTAAGGATCATGATGGTTAGGACTGTCATACAAATTGTATTAATTGCCCAAGAACTTCTGGACTTCACACAAAAGTAGTATTTTGGTTATATACAGTACTGTTCAGATACAACATAAATACAACTAAAACGAGGTGAACGCTGTGTTAACAAAATCCCAAATTACTACTCAAAACAAAATTTTTATCGTCTGTTTATAGTGGATTATAGTAATGTTTTTTCCTTGGAATTTTTATAACTCCATAAAGGAGCAAATGGACACGATTTACGTGTAGTGTGGTATTGGATAATTTTCATAAACCACAGTGATTTACAAATATGTTTTTGCTGTATTAAATCTAAATGTATTCTACACAGTCTGAATTTGTAATAATAAACTGGTATTTTAAGAACAATCCATGTCACAGAGTCAACAAATGCAAGTAAAAAAAATACTCACACGTTTTAGGCTTGTGGTGACAGGTTTTGCTTTGTTTTTGTGCTTTGTGTGTTTGTTCGCCACTTGGAAAACGTTCTTCTGTTTCTGACTTTTTGACTTATTTTTAGCCATGACCTGTTAAAAGATTGGAAGAACGCATATCTTCATATAACATGAATGTAATAAACTACATAAGCTAACGTCTCTATCAATTATCAGTATAATACTGCAGTACGTTAATAAAAAGACAGTTATGATGTATACTGCCAGTTCTAACTGTCAGCCTTATTTTCAATACTGTTATATTTCAATAATATTACCCATTTACTGAGATGGGAACAGGGAGATGTTATATCCTTGCTGAAAATAAGAAATTTAGTATTTTCCAGCGTGGATACCTTTTATTCTTTGCAGCTCATACGTTGTTACAGCTTCCCAAAAGTTCTTAAAATAGTTAAATATGAAAGCAGTTATAGAGAAACGTTCGCCATGATAGAGTTAATAAAAAAATACAGATCCTTAATATAATGTATAAACATATAAAACACATAAACTTACTAAACACGATCCTCAGAGAAAACGTGGAGTCGATGTGGTGACGTCAACCACATGCGCCAGAGTGTCCTTGATCACGTTGCATGAAACAGTTTATAGAGTTACAGAGAAAGTAGTTTACAATGTATATTTCTATACGTCATATTGACAAATGTGGTATGAAAAACATATATGTCTTGTTTTAGTTTTATCTTCAACGGGAAGAATGGAAAGAATGTTAAGGCAAGGATCTTAAGCTCTCGTTTGTGCTACGCTTCTTTTTGTATTTCGAGAATGGTTAAAAACACTACCACAAGAATCAATTTTGGTAAGTATTGTGTGGTGTTTTTAAATGATAATTAATAAGCACTGCACTGTTAGTAGTTTATCTGGTAGGTCTTGAAAAATATACTGAAAGTTTTTTGACTGCATATGTATATATTCTGAAAGTGAATTTACTGTATTTGTTGCATGGTATTGGTGTGTATTGCATGTTAGTTTAAAATTGTGTGTCACTGGTTATATGTAGCTGTAAATTAAGGAAATGGGAAATATACCTGAAAAATATATTTAAAAAATGTATTTCATCCTATAGGAACTTTGGAAAGGTTACAGAGCTCATACTATATGTCTGGTGATGTTTATTTCTGCATTGCAGGGGAGGGACATAATGTTTGTATAAGATGACACTGGTTAAATGCATATTGCTACATCAACACATTGGGGTTGGAGAACCAACTGGTCTAACCTGCTATGTAGTTTTTCAGGTTTGGCTATGTTCTCAATATTCAGTTAAATGCCAGAACTCATTCAGTTTCCAACTCAACAGTTCAACCCAAAACAGATTTGATTTTGCTTTCAAGAGATCTCAGGCTGAATGATAAATTAGATTACCTAAAGTATCTAGATTTACAGAAAACATTGTGCGATTGTTCTACTTTTAAGTATTACCAAAATTGAATACAATATGTACTTGCATTTTTCCCATGAAATTTGAAAAAACACAAACATATAGACTGAGCACTGTAACTACCGATACTTTTTTAACAAACAAAAGAATGTTCATCTAGATACTTCATGTAAAACCTGAATGATTTAAAGCAGTGCAAAACAAGTAAAGGAAAACAAACATTTAAGCAGAACAAGGTGAATTATTTTGAACAGTTTTAAAAATCAGTGTTCAATGTTCAATATCAATGTTTATTATGTTACTTATGAGGACAAAAAATAAACCCAACTCTATGAAAAAATTAGATAATTTATGAAAGGGCAGACTATTAATTCCATTTACAACATGAAAGAGTGGGCCAGGAGTGTTAAAAAGTAAATTAATGTACAATACTGTAGTTTGCCTTCCTTGAGAATCTTGGATCCGGATGAGAAGTATTTTATATTATTTTCACCACAAGGTGGAAACAAAGTCATGTAACACAATTAATCCAGTTAGCTCCTGCATCATCTCACAGGCAGGTTTTCCACTCAGTGGCTATACAGACCAATGGAGGATGAAATTATATTGATCACTAATAACAGGGAATAGATGAATAAAGATAAAGAAATAGATCATAAAGAAGTGGAACCGGAAGCTGGAGGGGAACGTCCACAGAGAAGGCTTGTGCAAGGCTTGTTCTGCCTATTAGAGTAAAATAAAAATATGAAAGACACAATTTGGTATTATAGGTTAGTTTAAGTCAGAAGCATTAAATACAAAGGATTTTGTTTATATTCTGTAAAGATGCAGATGCTGATTAGGTTGTTTGGTATAAATGGAATGTGAGAGGAGTGTATAAGAAGCATCAATCTAAACTTCGCAATATGCATTAATGTTTTTATAGAAAAATGAAGTATACAGATAATAGAGATCGATCGTTTTTGTATTGTTTTGATTATCTGATCACAATACACTAAAATTATGTTTCTGTTGCATAAGCACAAAATCATTTCATTAGTGAGAGGGTTGATTAAGTGCAGGTGATGGGGTGATTTATCCTGTTGAATTTAAGCTGAGAAAACAGAAGAAAACGCACAAGCACATCCTCCTCTTATAAAGAGAATAATGTGGTCTGTGCTATTGGCATGTTGGTAAAACACCTCAGGGGATTTAGCAGCAGTGCACCCTGTTCTATTGAACACCAGATGAAGGTTATGTGTAGACCACTCTGATTAACGTCACTGTGGTGCACATATGCAGAATGATGTACTAATTGTTTTGTAAAAACATGTCGGTGATGGAGAGAGGTCGAAGTGTGATCATCTGGGCGGGAGCATCTAGTCGTTTCAGAACTCTGTAGTGATTGATAGCAACCTGATGGCTTGGCATTATGCTGCTCTTCCTGCAGGTTTTTCTTGATGTGACGACATTCCAGCAGGACAGTGCTCATGCAACTGGTGTAACACTGGCTTTCCTGTTAGAGACTGAGACATCTATGGCATTTGTGCCATGGATCCCTTATTCTCTGAATATCTGTGAGATGAAATGGGATGACACATGGCATCAAGAATTCAGAGACCAGTGAACAGGCACTTCCTTGTCCACACTCTATGAGAGGAATGGGGCAGAATCGCAAAGGACTGCAGCTTTACTCTGGTGCAAAGCACGTGTCACAGTTGTATCGTTTTTACCACTTTCGCAATTAGTCTGTGACGTTCACTGCAGACCCTCTATTGATGACAAATGAGAATCAGCATAATGAATTAACCTACAGTGTGTCATCTCTGTTCATTAAAATGTCACTGCAACTGCTAAAAAAAAGATGAGCTGTCATTTTTCCAGATAACCTATTGTGGTTATAGATTGTTTTTTGATGCTCATTAAATTAAGATTAAATATAAAATATATTATTGATGACTGCTGCATGTAAAGACTGTGAAGGACAAACATGCAGCATATTTTTATTTTACATATTCCTTTTCTTGTCTGGAACAGTAATTACCCAAATAACTTTAAGAATTAATGGAGAAATTTGAAACTCGATAACATCAAAATATTGCTGAATCCATTCCCATCAAACTCATCAGAAGACCAGTAAAGCAACCAAGATATAAGTTACTGCCTGATTAATTATAAAATATTCCCTGCGGGACAATAATGGTCATTCTACAGGTGATGCATTTAAAACTTAAACTGATGTGCTATTGATTAAACATTTAGTATCACAGAAGAGGTGAAATTTGACTTATAAGTAAAGTAAGTGGAGGTTTGAGAAACACCTGGTTATAGTAACAAAAGAAACTGTATATTCAGCATCTGTGCTCAGTATCTCAAGTTCCATTACTTGTTAAGTATTTATTAATTTGGCTACAGGATAACATTTGACAAACTGGGATAGTTCCGAGTTCTATCTGAAAATTACAGCATTTGCATTAGAGTCACATAACATGAGTTTTGTAAGCTACAAATCCTCCTTCAGATAGTAACAACTACCCAGGGCTTAATATATCTTTGAAGAAATTCCCTTTAAGCCTTCTAAGGCTAAATGGGTTATTGGACCACAACTTCAACAACATGATTAAATCCACATCAAAAACACTTAAGAGTTTATACTAGTCCCTTTTTCAGCATTTACACCACTATGATTTGTTGAAGAATTTCACTTTCCATAGATTTTTCGAGACTCAAAAAACATTGCAAGGGGCCATATTAAATATTGGTCTGTTGTTTGGCTTTTTTTAGATCAAGTGCCAAATGAATAATTGTGAAAGTTGCTTATGCTTTAAATTATTACATTGACTTGACTCACAGCCTGAGCTTTTGGAATCAAGCCTCAGGAAGCATTTAAACAATGCCAACAAATTATTCATTGTTTAAATTATACTAAATTAAAAGGCCTACACAAAGGCACACAGGTGCACACCTATCCTTATTTTCCCATTTATAGTTCTAAACCATTTTTGAGATAGTGAGCTGTGGGTGTCTGGTAGTTTTGCCCTGCTATCAAATGTTTTATAAAGAAAGCAAGAGTGTCCACAAGCATGTTCTTCAGCCCAGTTAGTGCTGTTTCTTGTTTGGTAATCTATTGCAAATATAGCTACAATTTTGTAACTAAAATACACAAATGTATGGAATATTTTACAACTGTAAAATCGTGAAAAAAATGTAATTTATAAAAAAAACTCTGTATCCCTTTGCTTTAGTTTCTATAAACTGCAATTCTTATTAATGTCAAGCACCTATATTGTTAAATTATTGAATTCCAATCTCAAATCCCTCCCAGTCATGGGATCACTGGACAATTACAATACACAATTCTTGCATACTAGTCATAGACAAAAGTATTTGTGAAGCATTTTTACTGTTAGTTTGATTTTATTTGTAAAGCTATTTACCGCTGATACCTTTAATGTTTGTTGAACAATGATGAATATTCATCATATCTATCCAGTTTTTAACGCGGAGGAAACGAAGTCTATCCAGACAAGCAGTGGGCGCAAGGCAGGATACAAACCTGTACGGGACCCATTGTAGACACAGACTCACACCAGGATCAATTTTCCCCCAGAAACCAATTAACCTACAAGTATCTCTTCGGACTGTTTGAGACGAATCCACGCGAATACGGGAATATATACACAAATAACACCCCAGGTCTGGAATTGAGCCCGTGGCTCCAGTCCTGCGAGACAGCAGTGCTCACCACTTCGCCACCGTGACGCCCCGATTAATATTCAGTGAGCAGCAGTTAAAGAACTACTGTATGTGAATTAACAGGAAACAGTCATGTACTCTAATAATATCAAAATATGTAAACCTTTTGAATTGAAATTAGCTGAAGTGTTTGCCAGTTAAATGGACAGTTTCAAAAAGTAGGGGGGCATTTCTGTTTTTCTACACAAGACAGTTACTTCTGTAATGTTAATTTACGCCAAAGCAAAGAGAATGGGGTCATCACTTTTTCATTTGAATTGCTTACTAGCGGCACTGAGGCTGTCTCGTTTATTTCTAGCCCTTGAAGCTGAACAGTTTTGCGCTCAGTCAGTATTGTGTGTTGCTTTCTTTTCATTGTATACTCTAAACCATAATTAAAGCGTTACAGTAGGATAAAAGTATCGTACAAAATACTCAAATATTAGTTTTCTATTAACGTTTGAAAACGACCTCACGGGCACAATATCGTATGAAGTAAAAAAAACCTTAGACACAAGATGAGATCACTGCTTTTAACTTTACTCTAGAAATATTCTTTTCAACTACACAGCTATGAAAAGAAGAGCCGCTGCAATTATTCATTTCCTTGGAATGTCGCAACCCTTTCCACAATTCTCTGGGGTGAAAAAAAAGTACCGAAACCATCCCTGAATTTAGTAGTCCGCCTCAATCATGCTTCTACCGCAATGCTTAGGTCACTGATTATTTCGAAACCATTATTTCTGGTGTGGAGCTTTGGGGTTCTATGAAATAAAAGGCAGAACATGCTCACCACATTTGCTCTATCGGGCTGTTTTAGGATACAGAGCAGTTATAATTAAAAAAAAAACCATAATATAATCTTAGTAAAAAGTGCTAAACACTTATATTTCAGATCGACGACCTGTTCATTTTTAGCACACAAAAAGGATACTACTTGTACTGTATATAGTAAGTAACCAAAAATCAGGACGACTTAAATCAAACTATTTTACACCTGCGCCTTACAAGAAAGATGATTGAAACAAATGCGTTAGCACGAAGGTCTTGTAGATCCGAAATAGTGCTGGATCCTTCATTTTCGAAATGTAAAATTAGTCCTTTACAGAAGAGAGAGAAGTAATCGTTTAATTCATTGACTTCTCTTGCTTTGCTTAACTCCTCCTCCAGAGTACTGAGATCATGTAGCCATGCCCCCTAGCTTGAAAGGCAAACCGCGTATTAGCTGGGGTAGTCTATGAAAACCCTCATCCAAGTCCGCTGGAGGGTTCAAAACCTGCTAGACTTCATTCAAATCTGAACCACGTATTACTTTTAGATTGCTATAAGTACACATTTGAGAAGAAATGTCTCACTCATGGGGATATGCAGCTAACAACGGTGAGGGTTTTCTATTAATCTTTCCTTTTTGAAATGTATTTTAAGAGTGTAAAGTAACAGTGTGTCAGAAAACTGAATGAAACATGCTTTAAATGTAATGATTAAACTTTGACATATTCTTTATGTGTTCAGGTAGTAATACAGTACGTCAGTTATGCTTTGACGTGAGGGGCAATGGCAGGTATCCACAAAAGCCTCATTGTTTCTATTTTCATGGTCTATCTGGACAAGCTACTTGCCCCGTACTGAACATATCAGCAGCAAACATACATTAGCTGATGAAGAGAGATAATAACAGTTGTTCATCACGAGTCAAGTAAAAAGAAAACTTATTTTCTCATAAGATTCCTTGTCTTTAAATGTGCAATTTCAATTTGCAGATTTCAACATCATTTTCTCTTCTAAGTAAAGCAGATTAATACAAATCCTTTATACTTAAAAAAAAGCCTGTATTAAATGCATCCTAAGATAAAATATTAGAACTGTTTTTTGATGTACAATTAATTAAATAAAGATTTTTCTTCCTTTTTATTACAGGACCAGACAAATGGCATGAGAAATTTCCAATTGCTCAAGGACCCAGGCAGTCTCCCATTGACATTGTGCCCTCCCAGGCACAGCACGACCCAAATTTGAAGCCACTCCGTATCGTTTATGATCCCAACACATCCAAAGGGATTTTGAACAATGGACATTCCTTCCAAGTTGACTTTGCAGATGAAAACGACAGCTCAAGTTAGTACTTTTTTGAATAATTAAAAAACATACAGTATAACCGCTATTTCGGTATATTCAGCATTTGACATTAAATATTAATGACAGAGTGATACAGAAAAACAATGCCTCTTAAAATATAAACAAGGACATATGGCCATAATATACATCATGTGTCATATGCACATCAATAACATTTCTCTGTTACAACAAAATAATTTATTTGACACTAGCACTTCGACAGTGAAAAAGTGCAAAGTGACACTTGGTAAAATGAAAGTCAGTTCAAGCCCAAGCTTTTCGGTTTTGAGTTCCGAAGATAATTTTTCTTTTCTAATTATCATGTGAATGGATAGTGAAATATGAAACTGTGCACCCATACAGTATTTACCAGAATATTGAGATCTAGGTTTTGCGCAAAGAACATTGTAATTATAATGTAATTTTGAAAGTCTGTAGGATTAAATTTTCTCGGATAAAAGTATTTTATATACATGTATATATCCTACTGCTGATATGCGATACTCATGGTACATGTGAAAGAGGTCATAGTAATGGAGCTTTTTGGCATTGAGAACCTAGTTAATGATTAATTTTCTTGTGGCTCTTTGGTTTCCCTGGGAAAATGCTTAGGTGCCTAGCAGAGTACTGAGAATAAACTGATTATTGCTGACAAATGAGCCACTATGAAAATAGTTCAAAACAGTTCAGCCTCTATACTAAATAATAACTAATTTTATAAGGCTAAAATGGTTTATGAATTGCTTTCAATAAGATACACTTTAAAATAACAATTTATAAATCTTATTTGAAAACTGTTGGCATAAAGAAATAAATATTTGTTATCTTTAAGATGATATTGTGTATAGCAATCCCACAACTAGAATAAGAGGGTCTTTTGGATTTTACTGCTCTAATGGAGAAATGATCAATTCTAAAATAATATGTTGTGCTTCCAGTTTCTTTTTCATACTGTGCCACATTAACATTCTTGTTTGGTTGTTAATCTATAAATTATTTTATTAGTTTACTGCTAATTTGCAGACTTTATCTGTTGCACTGATATAATAAACTGTAAAGGGATAATTTTGAAAATTCATTAATCCCTTCCAATATTTCCTTCCAATATGCCAACTTTTTTGTTTAGAATTGGTATGCGAGTATGTTTTTCCAGATTCTTGATACCAAGAAATTAAAAAATGTCTGATTTTAATCTTGTTTGTTCAATGGTTACTGATTCTATAATAATAATAATAATAATAATAATAATAATAATAATAATAATAATAATAATATGTGCAAATAAATTTAAAATTAACAATAAAAATGACATATAGCTTATGTATGTGTTTTCTGAGAAAGGTAACATTTAAACCATCTAGTGATTGGTTTATCTGATAAATAGACAACAGGATGTCAGATTGGAGTGGCTACACTGCTCTTCTAACATACCACCTAGTTGGACTAAAGGTCATTTGAAACACAATTACCTACATTCATTTACCATTTCCTCTCTTGGGAACCACACTTACCGTACATAGAATTACAATGTTTAGCCACTCTTTAGATTTTTTCCCTTTCATGAAATGGAGCAAGGATTCCTCTGATGACTCTGCTATGAAAAAAAAGCCAAGTTTACTTAGAGTAACCATCCACAGATAATCCATTCTTTATCTAAGAACTCTTTGTTGTTCATGAACAGGACACTGTTCAAGATATAAAGAAACTAAATTGGAAAAAGTAAGAAAACCCCTACTTCAGTCAATAGAAAGAAATTAATATTTTGAAGACTGGTATTTTCAGTGGCAAAGATCACTTTTTCATACTGTGGAGAGATTCTAGATGAGAAAAACAAGTGTCACACTGGTAACACAAGCATAGAAATACACCTTTCATATGCTACTGCCCTCCTTAATTGCAGAGATACTTTGGTTCTAAGGCTTTGCTCACTAATCAGAGCACTAAAGTATTTTAGTTCAGTTTGTTGATATTTCTAATCAAGCAATGAATACCTGACGACCTTGAGATGACATTGCTTAGGAGTTATTTTCAACACAGCACTTCAGAAAAGGAGCATGATCACCAGGCTGCATGGAAATGAGAACAGTCTTGACTTAAAATTCTGTGTTTACACAAAATAGCACAGCAATGACAAATGTTCCTGTTACATCTCCCACTTACATCCAGCAAGCTTAGAACAATTTGTACAATTATGTACATTTGTTACAAGTACTGATAATAATATATCTAGGCCTAATTTATTACATTCACAGGCAAAATGTTACATTTTGTTAGTATCATCATCCAAATATGTCCTGTAGAATTTTGATGATTCATTGTTGGGCATCATTGGGAGAAGTGGCTTTGTAAATCTGAAGGATCAACAGGTCTGCCTACAAAATAATACTAACACTGACACAATGCTTCTGTAGCCGAGAAGTCTTTAACACCCCCGATAGTTAGGCAGACAGAAGTATTGTGATATATTAATGTTTTTGTAAAGGATTAAATATGTTCTAGTTTTGTCGATAGAATAATAAACAGCATGTTTTACAGTGTTGTTTTCCAAACTTATTAACAATTTAAAAAATTGATGAGTGAAAATAAGACGAGACAGTCTCTCATTTGCTTAACCTTCAAACTGGGGTGTGCTTGGATATGCCGTCAATTTTTTGGGACTGCTAAAAATTAAGGACTACTGTAATCTAGTAAAATTGCAACTTAAGTAAGAACTGTGTTAGTATTTATCGGTTATGGAAGACAAGTAAACTGTTTTTTTAATCTTGTATTGACATTTTGTCAACATTTGTCTTCCTTTTTAAAAAAAAATAACTTACAAGCCAAATATGTATTTTAAGTTTCAGTGTATTCAGCTGAAATCCAAACATCCATCCATTTTCTAACTGCTTTATCCAATGCAAGATGGCAGGGGAGCTGGGGTCTATCCTGGCAAGCAACATACGCAAGGATACAACCTGGACAATATGCCAGTCCATCGCAGGGCACACAAGAACATAACCACGAAACACCCACACCAGGGCCAGTACCATTACTGTACCATACCAGTATGTCTTTGTACTGTGGGAAGAAAATGGAGCACCTAGATGAAAGCCAGCAAACATGGAGCCAACATATAGACTTCCCACAGATAGCATTCCAGGAACTGAACCCACACCCCCAACGCTCCATAATTGTGCCACTGTGCCACCCATAATCCAAACATTTCTTGTGTAAATATTCATGTTCAGATCAACCCAGATAACATGTAAACCAGGGTTAGAAATTCATGGGTCACTGATTTGGTTTTGCTTTCACATTTGTTTTTTGTCAACAGCACTGCAAGGAGGACCAATTTCCGGCGTTTACAGGCTCCGTCAGTTCCACTTCCACTGGGGTGCTAGCAATGAAAGAGGATCAGAGCACACTGTGGGGGGAGTGAAGTATGCAGCTGAGGTATTGCACCACTTCATTTTATAAGATGGTTTACACTTTTCAAAAAGAAGAAGTAACTTCTTGTGTTCTCACACAGGAAATTTGTCCTTTATAGATATTGATCTACATCACAAAAAAACCTTTGTGCAAAATGTCACCCCCATAGATGCATGGAGATGCATGAAGACTGAGTTACCCTTTTAAGACTTGTGTTTTTCAGCACAGGGAAATTCATACATAGGAGGGAGGCATGTGTGAAAACTAAAATTTCCTGTTGTTGTAATTTGCCGGCTGTAATTTTTGGCCAGCAGTGTATTAAAAGTATTTTTTTTTTGTAAAAGTGAGATTTGACAATAGTATGGATAAGGTAACTAATATTCTCACAGCTAAGGAGCTGAAGTTTAATTAGGGAGCTCCCAAATGAAAATCATATTATTTCCATTTGGATATAATGCACTGACCTCCTAAAATGTGATGCAGGTCTCTGTAGGTTTAAATGCATGTGAAGATTATTTTAAGTCCAGTGATGTGTGTTAAAGTCTGGTCTTTAGTGTTTCACCACATAAACAATTTATTTATAAATGCTTTAAACAATTTTATTTTGAAACATTTCATCATGCTGTGTTTAATTTCTAATTAAACCTACAACTCATAAACTGGGGCTCACTGAATTTTAGCATGGGTCTGTACAATGCCCTTATCTATGCTTGATGGTAATGTATATCCAGAATGTTTACATAAATTTGTGTATCTACAGTATTAGAACATACAGTGAAAGTTGGTAGGGTGTTCTGAGCCAGAGATCAAACATGAATTGTCAGTGAAACCATACAAGTATCCTACCACATGCTCAAAAAGACTTGGCCATTTGGCAGTGAGGCAGTTTTTTCCTACATGTACCCATTGACTTGCACTTAAACCCATTTCACTGCAATATCAATAGTGAGCTCCAATACCTTGAATAATATATTCTCATCATATACATTTCTTAAGTTCATAAAACATTGTATGCAAGAAATGTGTAATTGTTGTAAAAAATATTTTGTTTAAGGTATGATGGGTTATTAAACCTTTATAATATTTTAGTTTAGCTGTTGTAATTCTAAATTTATTTGCAGCTTCATCTGGTTCACTGGAATGCTGGGAAATACGCAAGCTTTGGCGATGCTGCAAAGGCACCAGATGGGTTGGCTGTTGTCGGTGTTTTCCTCAAGGTCTGTTTATTTATTATTTTATTGATTCTTTTAGAGAGAAACCATAGACATTCTTGCAGGATTTTGTACATTCTTATGTCCCGTCGAAGCTGAAAAGTACTTAAGAGGTACTTTGAGTAGTTGGTGATCTGATTAATTGATACAGTGATCTTAGACACTGTGGTTAGGTAACTCGTTAGAGTCCCACCAGTAAAGAAATGCCTCTAGTATTGATTCATACTTTTCATTAACACACTGACAAAAATTCTAAGATGATTACTTTTGGATTATTGATTATGGATTTTTCCAGACATGGCCCTATGTAGAAGGAAATGTTTTCTGATTTTAGTCCTTGATTGATTTTTTTTTCCTGAAATAGTCCCTTAGTTTGATTTTGTCAGCATGTATCAGGATACAGTAGTTCAAATAGGTAGATGTGTCCGCATGTGTAGGCTGCAAAGGAACAAGTAATAGGTTTATTCCATGAGAAGAGAAGAAACAACGTTTCGGCTGTGGAGCCTTCTTCGGGTGTGGATACATCCGAAACCACTTTAAGATGAAAGAATCTGTCGTGTAGTGGTTCACATAGTGTAAGTGGTTCCCAAAAATAGCAAAATCTGAAGAGCCTGGGAGTATGTTCTTATATATCCACACATTAAAGTCTGCTACCTTACTCTCAATCCATAGCCAGTTATAAACAAGGGAATGCCAACAATTTCTTTGATGTCAACTTAGGTGTTATGTTGCTTAGAGCTGGGAGTGTGACTGAGAAGTGGTTACCGAATTCCAATTGGGGATGAGCTTCACATGACACAAATGCATTAAGTGAACTGATGCATAAAAAACCTGTACCTGCTTCAGAAATATGAATTATGGTAGTAACATTATGGATGCTATGGATAACTAGTTAAGTAGAAGAGCTACTAAAAATTATAAAGACCCACAGACCAGGTTAAGATTGTTACTTTTCATTATTATAGGAGAAAGAATGAGCTGCCCCCTGCTTATCATAAGATTTTATTAAAGCCTCCGCAGAGTATTGAAGTAACAGTAATGAATACTAAAAGTAGTTCTTAAAGTTCAATTATTACATTAAACCATGAGCAAATAAGTACGATCCATGAAGAATGCATTGTTCTTTTGCAGTAATCCAACTGTAATGACAATGTCAGCGGGCTGCTGAAGAATGGATTAAGAATTTACAACAAGTATAGATTATAGCAATAAGTATAGCCGCAGTTAGATTGATAGATTGATATGATCTGCAGCAGTCAAGATAAAAGCTTGGAGTTCTTTAAAAAACATTTATGACAGACATTGCATATTGACACTTTCAAGTTTAAGAAGGAAAATGTCCTTCTATGGTGGGGAATAATTCTTTTATTATGATGACCTCTATTACCAAATGTTCTTTTCAGATTGGCGCTGCCAGTCCTAACCTGCAGAAGGTCCTCGATGCCCTTGATGCGATTAAGACAAAGGTCAGAAAAACACAATCAAGATCTTTTACAAACTGTTAATGCACTGTAGCAAGAATTCCTATCCACATCTCCAATTAACATCACAACAGCTCATTTTATATAAGAAGCCTTTTAAGCCCATTGTAACATTAATTTTGTATCTGATGTAATCAGATTAAGAGCAAAATAACTATTGCACATTAAAGCATTCTGCTGTTATGAAAGTGAATACCCTGATTTATAAATTAAATGAGCAGAAATGTTGGAGATAAATTATTTTGGGAATTATTATTTTTATTTTCTTAAAAGCAACATATATTTTCAATAAAATAATCACAGCTGTGAATAAGTTGCCTTTTTACTTTAGGGGAAGCAAACTCCTTTCCCACAATTCGACCCCAAGATTCTACTTCCTTCCTCTCTGGACTTCTGGACATATGAGGGGTCTCTGACAACCCCACCCCTGCTGGAGAGTGTCACCTGGATCGTCCTCAAAGAGCCCATCACTGTCAGCTCAGAACAGGTACTGTAGCTTACAGTATTAGGGTCACACAATAGTTGTGAAAACTACACTTCCAGTTAAATTGATAAAGCAATTTATGCCTGTCTTGTCATTATTTACAACCATGATGATATCTTCCTTATAGTTCCTACCTCGAAATCTTAATAGGTAATTGACAGTTCTACTCCTTTTCTTTCTTTAAAAATGTAATGCTTGATGTTTTTGTCAGTTAATAACTGCTATTCACTGTATATTATATATTATATATATTTGTACTATAAAGACACCCAAATAATACTAATACAGAATTTTCTGGAAAGTCATTCACTGTAGAACAAGGAATCTTCAACTTTTCTACTCCAGTTTAATCAGTATAAAATAAGCTTTTTTTAAATAAATTAAGCCTGTTAAAGAATGCATGTATTGAAAAATGCATACGTGGAGAAAAAAACCAATCCATTTTCCAAAACTGATGTGGCATTTGTCAAAAACAAGGGCATTTATTTTGGTAGATGCTTATAAATGGCTCCTTCAAAACTGGTTTAAAATATGGAACAATAGCACAGACAGCATGACTGAAAAACATCAGCAGGTAAACCCACAATTGAAACAAACATTATATTTTTCTTCTGCAGAGTATAGCAAAAGATCCTAATTTTGTGTGTTTTATGCAGGCGTCACTGGCTTCAGCACGTAGCATAGTAATTTTTGGTTGGACTAATGTGAAGGTTGCTTTATAGTGGTGCAATCATGCTTCCTGTAATTAAGACTGAAGCTCTTCTTAGTACTGCTACAGTTCTAAACCTGCACCCATGCAGTCATTTGCAAGGTTAGCTAAATTAACACTTAGTTAAGGTTATCAAACCAATGTGTCACAATAGAAGCCACACTTGGTGAATCATCCTAGAACAAGGCTTTGCAACTAAATTAAGATGATAACTAATGTATGTTAATTAGTGTTAATACCTCTTAAGACTAAAACATGAACCTGTTGAAATGTAGTCACTTTGCAGCTATTATTCCTAAGGTTATTAGATAAATACACCATAGACTTAGGTTGTGCTTAAATTATGGATTCTAGGGGCACATGGCTAATGCAGTTTCTGTAAAATTTAATTGATACTCTTGCACTTTATTCAATTTTCATGTACACAAAATTAAATTAAAATGATGGTGGTTATCCAGAATGAAAGCTAATTGAATTGATTGGGGTATATAAAATACTGTTTCAATTTGCATTTTGTGTTATCTTCAGATTTTTTTTGTAAGAATACTGTAAGTAAAACAGAAAAACCTAAATCATAATACCTGCAACCCTCATGAGGAAAAACAGACTGAAAATGCATGGGTGGCAAAAACTATAATAAAGGATCATGAAGAAATAATTATAATAATGCTTTCTTGGGTATAAAAGATCTGAAGCATTCACACTATATGAAGTTGAAAAGCAACATTAGTATCATGAAATTGTAGTGTTTTTAGTTCTTGGGGCATGATACACAACAAGTGCCCACACAGATATCTCTGACCTGCAGCAGTTTGAATGTTTTAATTCATGTATATGTCAGTACTGATTAGGATCGCCTTTGGTGTCTGACAGAAAATGTCAAGGATAACACAGTAGACAAGGTGTCTAATAATAGCAGTGCAGTTTTAAGAACCAAATAATTCTTCTGACTGACTCATGTGTTCACTTGGACTGCCTTTGCTTCAAGATCTAGATAGCTCGGATGTAGATGACAAAAAGGGACAGATATATAATGCTTCTGCTATGACATAAATAACTATATTTCACCTTGAGTTGATAGCTGTGTACAAACCATGCATATTAGAATTTTCAATACCTGCTTGTGTGCTCCTTGGATTGTATGCATTACATTTTCAGAGCTATTGAAAATAAAGTATACTATATCACTAATACAAATAAAGTAACTAATGACTCAAAATAAATGTACTCAAGTCACCCCTCTTCCAATGGTAAAGCAGTTAAAAAGAGCAACCAAACAAACACACGAATACACATCCACATAAATGGAATGATCAGAAAAGGGAAAGACAAGGGAAGGACGATGCTGTTTAATAAATATATTTAAACATCTTACACAGTCTGTGATGTTTTAGTTGATTGTCTACCTTCATACACTATGGTTATTATATGAAATTGTTAAGAGAGAAGTTTTGTGTTACTAAAATAAGGCTACAAAAGTATACAAAATAAGTGTACAAAAAAATTAAAATGTTAACATTCTTAAAAAATTGAAATAGACAACAGGTAACCTGATCAATATTAATACGTAGTTCTATATGCACACCAATGACCTGTGGAAAAAGACCGCAGTGCTAAATGCATGATAGGGATGATGGCCTTTAGTAACACTCACCCACTCTAGAAAGCCATGACAAAAATTGCTGCTATCCTCAGCTGCCCATGGGTAGTTTATCAGTGTCATTCTGGGAAAAATGGTGAACCATGCTAGATTACTGGATTGTACCTTTAAAGTATTCTTAAAGAATGGTATTTAGAATATGTAAAATTATGAACTGTACCAAATTAAGTGGTCAAATACTGGTTTTGCTTGTAGCTGTTAATAATAGGTCCTTTCTATATAGGATTTATCAGTGAGTAAAATTGTCACAGACGTCAAATGCAAATGGGAAATCCATGGAATATATTTGTACTGTTTTGTGAGGGAAGGTAACGTTCAAGGAAATTTAGACTTGTGCAGGCAGTAAGTGTAACCTTTTACCAGATGCTATTTTTATGTTACTTAAAGGACACTTATAGACCTCTAATATGAGCAAGGGAATCAAATTCGCTTTATCCCTCCATTGGGTATATCAGATGAACTATATTTAGAATATGGCAACTTATCCTTTAAATCTGATAGCACATAGTTTAACTATGGACAAGCACCACCTCACCATTGCAGTGAACTAGCAGGACAGTGGCACCAATATTATACATAGTTATAACAAATTCTTGTTTTAATAATGATACAATTAACAAAATGTTTGTTTTTATTTATATATATAAACAATAATATAAACAATATATATAAACAATAAAACAAATAAAACATTGGTGTAAAAGTATCTTTAAAATAGAAAACAATAAGTATTCCTGTTTGAGTATATTACCTATAGTAATCACTAAGATTTGTTTAAAGATATGCCAGGAGTGGGGACAGAGTTAGGATCAATTCCAATTCCACCTATTTATATCCCATTCCTTTGAATCAAATTCCAGTTAAATTCAAATTCCCGTGCATGGCACAATGGACTTGTGTAGTTAAACACTATAACTTGCATTCATGTAATTTGTACATTACTTTGTGATGGCTCTTAATCATATTGTAACGAAACGGCCGACATACAGGTTGTACGAACTGGTTGCAGGGCGGTTACGGCACTGCCTTCCCCTGTGCATAACAGGGATGTTGGTTGCCCGGGCTGAAGAAGGTCTTCTTTAGTTCAGTCACCAAAACCCCTGTTGAGCGACGCTGGTGACCTGGGTTCGAGCCCATACCCGAATTTGTTACATTGGTGTTAGAGGTGGGATGGGATTGCTCTTCGCCGAGGTCAGCGAATTAAGTGGGGGAGAGTAAGGAATACGCCCCTGCACTTAACAGGGATCTTGGCTGCCTGGGCTGAGGAAGGTCTTCTTTAGCTCTTCTGGAGCTGGAGAGCCGGGTTCGCGCCCATGTGGTGAGGGAGGAACTGGGGCGGGAGCGGCGAGGGCACAAGCCCAAGAACCCGAATTCGTTACAATATTGAAATACAAAAGTTCTGCATTGATCTTAATGGTGAATGTTATATATTTTAAATATGCACTTGAGTCCAAGAAATACTAGAAAAATGGTCTTCAGGTATATAATAGTGTTCATATTTTAAAAAACAAGTAAAAAAAAACACATAACCTTCCAAAAAAGCATTAGCATAAGTTTACGATTTTATGTTAATTCAGTGTTTATATCCAAACTTTAACAAGTTTATAATCTGATCATCTTTATCTCTTCAAATTTCATATTTCTTAAATTATACGTTTCTTGCCTGCCTTGCTAAAAAGTCTCTCTACAGGATCTGATGAGGTATTTATAACAAAATGTTTGCAGGTAGAAAGGTATCTGGTTCTTGTTTTGTTCTCAGTAGCAAGTTGATCTGTTTCCTCTGACAGGAATGGTAGGCACATGTGAGTAAGGATTTCATCACAGTTGTTATGCCTGTTCCTGTATGAAATGCACTTTTGTATGTTTTTTGTTTTTTTGCTGGTGGTGATGTTAAATCCCTGTATACTGTAGGTGTATATGTATTCTGTCCTGGGATTAATGCCTGACTGAAGCAATTTCTATGTGGAGTTTTCTGAAATTAATTAGTTTATACTTCAGTTATTTGCCACCTAGATGACATCTGGCTAGATTAATAATGTCTCTAAATTGTCTATGTACTCACACCCAGAGATGAACTGGCACCCTGCCCAGAATGTAAGCTTGGCTTAAGTCTTATGCTTCCAGGATATACTTCGAGTTACCCTGAACTTTACCAGGAATAAATGGTTTTCTGATAATGATGTATAGTATATACATGTATTTGTGTTTATATATTTCATGCTCTTGTTACATTTGTTACATTTATTCTATGCTTACAAAGAGCAGAATGTTACATTTGTTTAGAGTTATTGACAAATATCATTGAATTTTCCTTTGTATAAAAGGGCTGATTTTGAACTCGTGTAGCCTTTTTTAGGGTGTTTAAATCTGCTTGTTTGGAAATTTAAATACTTTTACCCTGTTTTGTTCCTACCTCAAAACCATAAACTACACTGGTAGACCATGTGTAGTTGCAAATAGGAGTTTCCAAAGGGATTTTATTGCAAGTACACACCCAGTTCTTAATAGAGTTGTAGTATGTCCATGTCTGGTTAGATCAGTACAATTTGAGATGTAATGTAATACAATATGCTAAAATCAATTGTTACAGAAAACAGTTAAATCTTACTTAATCAAATTAAGAACGTGAAGCAGACATATTACAAGTACAAGTACAAGTACAAGTACAAGTACAAGTACAAGTACAAGTACAAGTACAAGTACAAGTACAAGTACAAGTAACTAATCATATTCTGATTGCACATAAGCATCTCTTTGATTCACAATTTTATCGCCACTGAAATGATACTGTGTAAAAATACCTTGATTTGCAAATAATGAGTATGATGCCAAAATAATAAATATAAAAGTGTGTCCAAAATCCATTTTAATTAATTGAAAATATCACATAAGAAAAAAAAAATATTTTAAACAGATTAAAAGATAAGTCATATTCAGAGAAAAAAAAACATTCTAAAACGTTTAGTAGTGTATGCGGCTTCTTTTTGGCTGCACGCGATGGAGACTCAATTGCTGGCTACGACTCTTCTTCCTACTTTTTGAAAGTTTTCAAATGAGCATGCGCTCTTTTCAACTTATGTAAGAAGAGTGTTCTCTGTGTTTATGTTGGTGAATCGTTCAAACGAGACAGGTTATCTTGTTATTACAGCAGGGAAGGGGCTCACTGTAGCTGAGCTGATGTGTTTCCACAGATGGCGAAATTCCGCAGTCTCCTATTCACCACAGAGGGCGAGACCGCTTGCTGCATGGTGGACAACTACCGCCCACCCCAGCCCCTCAAGGGAAGGAAGGTCCGAGCCTCCTTCAAATGAGAAAAGCACCGTTCCAGAAAACATTGCAACCAGCAAAAATGACGCTTCATCAGAGTTGTATAGTATCTACAGTAATCCATCCCCTGTAGAGATGATATTTGTCATAGAACCTCAGCAGTTATTCTACAGGAGTTTCTTTTCTCTTATATAAATTATATAAATCTGCATAGTACATGCACCTATTTTTAGTTTAGAAAAACGATTTGCTAATATCTGCCACTGCCCAATAGACATATTGGTTAAATATTGCAAGTAAATATATAGTGATCTTAATATATATATGTTAGAAGTTTTTAATTATTAAGAATTATGTATAAGAATATGTATTGCTAAACAAAAGTCTGAGAATGAGATTATGCAATTGATGCCAAGCATATACAGTAGGTTCTTAATCTGATCTATCAGCTTCCAGTGGAAAAAAATAAAATGCTATATGTACATCAAATAAACCCTATAAAAACATCAAAAGAGAAACATTACAGGCAGCACAAATGAAGCATTACCATGTGTATAGGGGGAGGAGAAGCACTTTATCCTTTCAGTCCATAATCCCTGTCTCCCTGTATCAGGATCACTGCAGCTTAATGGAATGTGACATTCAGTGCAATCACAGCTGATTGAGCCTGAAAGCCCTCCTAGCATCTACTAACCCACATTTGTAGTCACTGCTGAATCCTTTATGAACTGAATTTCGTCATAACCTTTTAGATCTGTTTGACTGCACGTAGGCAGCTAGTACTTCAGCATGTACCATTATGTAGTATGCACTGTTGTTATTGCAGCTATTTAATGCCTTGTTAACGTTTTTAAAATCAGGAATTGTGCAAACTGGAACTCTTGTACTAGGGAGCCAATCTAGAATTCTTGCTACCAGCAATGACAAGCACATAGCCTTACTGAAAAATCATGTTTTTAATCTGTTTTTATGATGCAAAGTGTTTCTGAAGTACAGCAAATAAAGGGACAGTAAATTAATGGGTTAGGTATTTCATGCTTTAAAGTTTGATAGCAAAGAATTGTCAGATCAATGTCTTAATCATGAACAACTCCTACTTGAAAAGTCTTACTGAGCAATATTGTTACATACTATAAATTTAGTTTTGTAACCTGATTAATTTTGAAAGTTTGCAATAAAATATGTATTTTATCATTTGTATGCTTCCATTGTCATAATTCCACTCTACATCGTTAAACTGTAATTATGTCAATTAAGCATTAACCTAAAACATAGAAAACATGACTTTGTATTGTACAACTTTCACTTTATTAAATATAATAAAATACCTAGGGATCCTAATGCAAAAAGGTGCACAAATGGGCACATACAGATAATGTTTTTGTTAATGTGGCTTTGTCTGCTAACCTAAACCCTAAAAGTAACTTATCACCTATATAATAAGATATAATATAGATATAATATATATATCCAGAAAATGACAATAATTTTGTAGCAGGTGCACCAATGCTTTATTGAACAGGCATGATATAGGTAAATTCAGTATGCTGGTTAACATGGACTGCCATTAATAGAAGATCTTCTGTGAAAATATATTGTGTGGCCATTCATGCTGTAGGCTTGCATATATAAGATAGTTCATAGTGAATTTCTATCCCATTCCTCTCTTGTGGTGCCTGAACAAGATTATTGTTGCGCTGATGGACACCAGGGAGCATTGAGCCCTTGTCTGGTCATTTGGCTGCAAACAATGACTGTTTAGCTGCCTGCTGACAGCTGAACTGATGATGTGTGGGTTGTTGTGATCTTGGGCTGCTGATGCAATGAAACAGGTGGCTTGAAAATGACTATGAAAATGGTTGAGATTTTGAATCTTGTAGCAAAGAAGAGCAAGAGCAATCTCTTCTTGATAAGCAGGATATATTGATTCCTATCCATGTTCTTCTGTCTTAATTTTAAGTTGCCTTATTAATCAACAAGTTGAAAAGACTTATCACCTATGTCCCATTGTCTTTATCAGTCATGAGGCCATAAAGTGCAATTATCCAGCAGTCAAAGTCACTTAAGTGTATCACTGTTAGTCATGAATGGTTAAAATTAAATGAAACACTCATCCACTCATCATACAGTTCTTACATATTTAATACAGTAGTTACACATCATATAGTTAGTTTAACCCTGCCAGAAGAGCATTTCCAAAAATTTAACTACGGGGAGTGTGAATAAATGTAACTCTTTTGTTTTTCCTATTATCTATGACTTTGTTGTGTTCAGTGCTGTTAAGACTGCTACAGTGTGTGAAATCAGATTTGTTAAGCAAGAGACACTATCCAATCTGTACATTTTTCTGTTAATTGATGTATTGTTCATATTTCATCAGGGGTATGAATTCATTTAAAATGTATTGTATACAAAACAATAGTTTTCAGATATTTATTGTATGAAACCATGATTTTCAGCATCTTAAAGGACATTGCCCATGCAGTTGAGATATAGTTGTAAGACTTCGCACCTGCCAAACATACTCAAGAAGGAACAATAGGGACATGTAGAATGAAGATTTGTAGAACAAATCACAAATCCATCAGACTTCAGAAAAAGCAATAATCAAAAGATTTGTCCTCTTGTGAGAGGCGGACTAAAGCTTAGTTTCTGCAGGAAGTAAGTCTTGAAAACCTGAACTTTGCTCAAAACTCTCTAAACATCACCAATAGAAGACCACAAGAAAAGAAGTAGTGGTTGTTT